CACCCATTCCTCTCCCTCCTGTACTTTCTACCTTGCCAATATCCTGCTCTATGCGCTTAAATAATACTCTGCTATGTGCACACCTGGTGCACAAAGCAACCCTCTCACCCCTCAACCCCCTCCGTTCTCCTGCTCTACCACGTATATTAACTGCCCTGAGTAAAATAAACATTGCCACATGATCAGCTGCTTGTCTTGTGGTCATTCCTTCGTGTCTTCTTGTCCCTATCCCCGGTCCTTAGGTCTCTTGCTCCAGTTTGACATCCTGCAGGTCGGGACAGAACCTGATTCTCCAAAGCTGCTCTCTGACCTCCACAGACCCACTACGGCATCTCATGCATGCACTAAGATGAGCACCCACATCGCATACACACAATAATTGCTTTTAGCTTTAAAAGTTATGCCTAGTGGAAGGCCTTGGAGTCTGGGAGGTGCCCTCAAAGGACACAGTGAAACCCTCACACTGGCTCACTCACCCCCTCTTGCTCCATTTCCCTGTGCCTTCCCACCCTTGCCACTGGTATCCCAGCCCCGCCTAGCCTCATGTTACAGTGCTCTGCACGCTCTCCTGTAACTGGATATGCCCCCCCCCACTGCAGCGCCTGTGCCCGCCAGTCCCAGCACTACAACAGTGGGGATGTTTTTCCTCTAGGACTACTCGTTTCCACCCCAGATGTTGTGGCAGTTGACCACTAGATGGCACCAGAAGAATACGTCTACCTTACTAACAACGGCCTTCAAACGTGTTCTTTGGTCTTAAAATGAGGGTGTCCTGCCACACAGGGACAGAGTATAATTGAAATGCCAGTGCCTTGCCTCTAGAACAAATGCTTACAAACACTTGCTTCTCAAAGTGTTTGTAAAATCAGTAATAAAAACCACTGGAAGCTGGATGGGGTGGTGCATCTCTGCAAGTTTAAGGCCAGTCTGGTCTACACAGAGTGTCTTTTTTTTTTTTTTTTTTTTGGTTTTTCGAGACAGGGTTTCTCTGTGGCTTTGGAGGCTGTCCTGGAACTAGCTCTTGTAGACCAGGCTGGCCTCGAACTCACAGAGATCCACCTGCCTCTGCCTCCCGAGTGCTGGGATTAAAGGCCTGGCTACACAGAGTGTCTTAAAGAAAAAGAAATGTGCTGGATATTGGTGGCGCACGACTTTAATCCCAGCACTCGGGAGGCAGAGGCAGGCGGATCTCTGTGAGTTCAAGACCAGCCTGGTCTACAGAGCGAGTTCCAGGACAGCCTCCATAACAATACAGAGAAACCCTGTCTCGAACCCCCCCCCCAAAAAAGAAAGAAATGCAAAGCCACACAGAGAAGCCCTGTCTCAAAACAAAATGAAACAAAAAAACAAAGGTCAGGGGTTGGTCTGGAGAGCTGAGTCAGCAGTTAAGAACTCCAGTTGTTCTTGCAAAGGACCTGAGTTTGAGACCCAGCATCCACATGGTAGTTCACAGTCATCCATAACTTCAGTTCCAAGGGATCCAACGCTCTCTTCTAGCTTCCACGGGCAGCAGGCAAGCACTCATACACATAAAATAAAAATTGTAAATCCCTGAATTCCATCCCAGCAGTGTATGAATCAGGCATGGTGCTGTATGATCCCAGCACTGTGTGAATCAGGCATGGTGCTGTATGATTATCATGGTGCTGTATGATCCCAGCACTGTGTGAATCAAGCATGGTGATTCATACAGAACTTGGGGGATAGGGTATCAGAGGCTCAAGTCATCCTCAGCTAGGCAGCTAGTACGAGGCCAGCTTGGGCTACAAGAAACACTGTCTGAAAAAGAAAAAAGAAAACCCTGGAGTGATTCCCATGCTGCTGTGTGCAACAAGCACCTTTGGGAGCCTGCATTCACCGACACTCTGTGCTCTTCCAGCAGCCACACAGCTAGACACAGGCTGCCAAGACTGCCGCCTAAGAAGGTCCATGATTCCCCATAAGTCTTCTCGAACACAGGGAGGCTGTTTCCTTACCGCGAACAACTCTCTTTTCTATCCTCCCCCCTTGCTTTTGTTGTTGCTTGTTTGGGGTGATGCTGTGGATTGACCAGGATGCTGTACATGCTACCTACCCCTCCTGTTTTTCTGGACCGCAGAACCTTGAATGGAAATGACTTCCAGTACTATCTCGACTCACCTGGGTGTGCTTCACGGGTGTGAACACCCCCAGGCTTTGTTGGGAACTGTGTGACCATGCTGTAGATGGTCTTAGTGTTTGTCTACCTGTGGACTGAGTGTGCTTTCCGTGTCTTTCCTGTGTGTCTGCATATCAGGCAATTGTGTGTGTGTGTGTGTGTGTGTGTGTGTGTGTGTGTGTGTTGTAGTCAATGTCTTAGTATCCAACAGCTTTGGTAGAGCATATACATGTTACAGGCTGCGTCATTGTGTCCCTGTGTGGCTGTAGATGGTGGTAGAGGAGTGTCCCTCATTTTTTTTGAGATGACAGTGATGTATATGTTGCACGTTTAGATGTACTCTCCTGAGTATGTATTGACATTTTGTCTAGTGCAAAGGTATGTGTTACAGAGGACAAGTTTAGTGGGTGTGTTGAGTGTTTGTTTCATGTTTCCATGTGTGGTGGTTATGTATGTGAGGTCACTGCTTGCCTCTTTTTCATGACATTATGAATTGTGTGTATGTGTGCTGCAAGGAATTCGGTCTCTGTGTGGTAGGTAGCCCATGTGATTCATATGATGTGTTCCAATTCTTTCGCCACACCTGAAGTGCGGATGTTGCAGGGTGTCTTGCGTTCCTATGTCTGCTGGATTTGATGTGTCCCCTGCCCTTTGTCTGTGTGTTTTGAAGGCTGATAGTTCTCTACATTACTGTGGGCTGGCTGGACATGTGTGTGGCAGGGTATGTGTCCCTTGGTGTGTATGTGTGGTGCTTTAGAGGTGTTGGACACGGAGGTTTGTTTCTGTCTAGTTGCCTCTGTGTGTCTCAGGGAGTTCTGGAGCCTTGATGAGTATGTTTCTGCTTTTTTTGGATACAGTTATATGTGGGGTGCATGCTGCTGTGTGTTTGTTCTGTGTTTCAGGGCTGCACTGGTTTGTCACACATGTGTGTGTTTTGCATTGAGTGTGTTGGTATTTCTGTGCATCTAGTGGCAAAAGTATGTGTGCCACGAGACAAACAATTGCTGGTATGTGTGCGTGTGCGTGGTGTCTGGCACAGCCTGCCCTATCTAAGTGATGTGTGCTACGTCCTGCTGGAAACCAGACGGAGCCCAGGCTCTCTCAGTCCCCACATTCCTTTGTGCTCTGTGCTACAGAAAAATATTTGCGTTTTCCACGACTCATAATTTTTCCTCCTCAATCACTACCAGATGTGAGCTCTGTGGTCCCCATCCCCATGGCAACAGAGGTTCCAGCAGTTGTGGTTCCCTTTTGTGGCGCCTGCCCTGGGAGCTGGCACTTCTGCAAGCCCAGAGGGGGTGGGGAATACCGGTTTGTGAAAGACGTTTAAGGGGAACTCTTGGGGGTGCAGGCAGCAGGACTGGCTGAAGGAAAGAAGGGCTCTCTGCTCTGGGATGTGCCCACAGAGGCTCCTGCAGGGCAGGCTTCCTGCACAGTCGGAAAGGCCAGTACTGAGACATTCTTGCACTGTCCAGATCATAAGAGTCCAGACTAGGGAACTGGAGGACTAGAATAAGGAATTGAGAAGTAAGGGAAAGGCCATTGGGGCAGGATGGCTTGATAGGGGCACAAATTGGACAAGAGCAGGGCCTACCAAGTGGCCCACACTGCACTGATTTGGCCTCTGTCCCTTTCTGGCTGATGCTGAGGCTAACTGAAGCCCCAGCAACTCGCATGGCTTGGTGCCATTCAAGTCACAAGACCACAGCAGGAAGGGTGCCTTGCTAGCCGAAGGAAGGCATCTGGCAGAGACAGCAGGACTGCCACCACGAGTTACCTAGCCAGGCCAGCCTGAGGCCCTGTGTCCATCGGCTGCTCTGGATGCCATTTCCATTCAGGTGTGGGACCAAAACTGACTTCAAGGTGGTAGTCAGCTGGCAAGGGCCCTGGCAAGGAGAGCCCACTGAGCTGCCAGCACTGGAGGTACATGAAGCAGGAAGACGCTGGCAGATTTTGAGCTGGGCATAAAGAGATGGGAGAAAGTGCTGGAGAGCTGGCTCTTCAGTCAAGAGCATAGTTCATGCCTACAGAGGACCCACATTGTGGTTCACAACCACCTACCATTCCAGTCCCTAAGATCTTACATCCTCTTCTGACTTCTGTGACACCAGGCATATACATGGCACACATACATACATGCAGGCAAAACACTTGCATACCTAGATGAATAAAACTTTTAAAATTAAAAAACAAAAACATGGAGAAACCACACCTATGGGAAGCTGGGGCAGAAGTTCAGAATCCTACTGAGTCGCGGTCTGTGACCCTGTCCCAACAACAAAAAGATGGGAGGTGTGAGAGTCTGATAGACGCTGGGCCGTGGAGGAACCCAAATAGCGTTCCAAAACTAAGGGTCAGTAGAGACCCTGGAGAAGCACAGGTCCGTGGCTCAGGAAGTACAGCTAGGAGCCTGCCAGGGGAGGTGGCAGTGCTGGGGGTGGGGTGGGGACAGAGATGGCTCAGGAGAGGCCCAGCCGGCGGTCTTCCTGCTCTGTCCCCTCGTGGAGCATGTGGAGACCCGGATACAAAGGTCCCCATTGGGACAAGGCACCTACTGAGGCAGACCACAGGCTCCATGCAGTGGCAGACTGTTTGTGAGGCCTGGCTGGACCCACGGCCCATTGTCCCTTGCCCCCATCTCTGTCTCACCAGAAACAGTTCTGTCCTCTAGATCCCCCCCACTTCCCAAGTGACAGCTCTGGACTGGTGGATTTGGCACATTTTTCATAGTTCGTGGACACCCACACTGGCGACCCCAAGGTTCCATGTAGCTGGAAGAGTCCAGAAGATGTCACATACAGGTTCTGTGAGAGGGGCATCTTTGACCACAACCTCAGGCAGGAAGTAATCAGAGCACAGGAAGTGGGGAGAAGCATTTTATTAAGAAAGCTTTGGTTTGGCCCTACTAGGAGGAACCCATCCTGGAGACCCCAGATGGGTGGGAGCAGCCCTGCCCGGGGCCTATAAATATGTCTAAGGCCACCAGAGTCGTCCCTGGGGTTCCCACAATTGTGAGGTGGTGGGAGGCCATCAAAGCCAGCTTGACAGCTGAGGGACCAGGGCTGATGTCGGTGGAGGTTGGGGAAGGGACAGGCCAAGATGTGCTGAGCCACCTGAGGGGCAGAAACCAGCTCTCCTCCCCAGGTTCGGGTCAACCAGATACTCACGAGCCCACAGTCAATGGGAGCAGCCTCTGGCTATCTTTAAGAAAAAGACCCTACAGCCATAGGCACCAGGCCCTGGCAAGAGAGGCATCCGCGCTCCTGGCGTCAGCCAATGACAGGATAGCCCAGCCAAGCACACTCTTGGCCAGTAAGAAGTCTGCAGGCTCTCCCAGCCACGGCCAATGAGACACAGATTGCTAGAAAAGCTCCACAACACTGCTAGCGGGAGCGAGTAGCCAGCTAAGTGTCCGCCAGGCCTGAGAGCAGACACAACCGAGCAGCGGCTGCCGGAGCCTGGGCCAGTCAGACACAGCCTCGTGCCGGGCGCTATGTGCTTGGGCCAATGAAATGCTTCGCTGCGGCCGCGCGGGAAACGGCGTCGAGAAACGCGGTGGCTCGCGAGCTGTGAGCCTAGGAAGCTGCGGGTGGCGCTCCCGCCCTGCTCAGCTCCCCCGCCGCCTCTCTGCTCTTCTTCCGCGGCGGCTTCTGGATGGGGGTCTTCTTCCGAGGGGTCTCGGGCGCGGGTGTCCCGGCCGCTGCCTTCTCGGGCGCCGTGGCCTCGGACGCCGCGGATGCGCGGGCCGTCGAGGCGGGGAGCACGGAGCGCTTGGCCTTCTGCGGCGGGGGCGGCTTCTCCCGCGGCCCCGGCGGCCCCTCGGCGCGACCCAGGCTGCGAGTCTTGTCCCGCAGCTCGGCTGCCAACATAGAGGCGGCCTCGGGCGCATTGCGCGGGGGACCAGCCGCGTCCGTGGGCTCCGAGAGACCCGGGCCGCGGCCGCGCGCTCGGACCCGGGGCGGCGAGGGTGCGGCCGGGGCGGGGACCTCTTCGGTCAGGCCCGGGGACTGCACCGACGTGTTGCTGGGGGTCCGTTTCCTCCCGCTAGGGCTCGGCGCAGCCATGCGGCCGGCGGCCGGCGGTGACGGGGCAGCAGCCGCGGCGCCCTGCTTGCCGTGGATCCAGGACACTTTAGGCTTGGTGGCAGGGTCGGGTGGCGGTGGTTTCCTGCGCTCGGGCGACGGAGACAGTGACAAGCCCCCAGCCTCACCTCGGGCCCGGGCCGGCCGGGCCTCGCGCCGGGCCACACGCGCGTACAGCGCTCCCCCGGGCCCCTCCACGCTGGACGCCGAGCGCTCGCTGTCTGAGGATGCAGGGAGGGCCGCTGCCTCCTCCACGGGCACCGGGGTGCTCATGGGCGCTAGGGACGCAGCGGGCACCTCAACCAGAGGGGCAGGAGCTTCCGGGTCTCGGCTCTCAGTCGCCTCTAACAAGGGAAGAGCAAGCGAGTCACAACAGCCAAGAACAGCGCGGGGATCCCTCCCTCCCTCCTCTGCCGAGGTGCAGCTGTCTATGCGTGGTCCCAACACTCAGGCATGCCTGGTGCTTCCATTGCATTAGTGGGAATCCCCGGGGTGTGGGCTGACTGCTGGGGGATGGGGAGTACTCTTTCAGGATTCAGCTTCAGCCTGTGTGCCCCTCCCCCGCCACACCCCAGTCTCAGAGGCCACAGCCATCAACTTTAAAAAGGAAGATTTCTGATGCTGAGGGGATAGTCATTTGACAGTTCCTCTCCACTTCCTACGTTGTCCCCTGCCACTCCCTATCCAGGTCCAGCCCCAGAAGTTAATACGTCTAGGATTCCATCTCTCCCTCCATGACTCACCCCAGCAGGGCAGAAGCCCTTGGCCTCTTGGTGCCCTGATGCCTCCACCTCCAGCACAGAGAGCAAGGCCGTCCACTGTGCCAGAGGGATGGCCGAGCAGGCCACACTCACCCTCGTGGGGCACGCAGTACACAGGGCCTTCATCTGTGGTGTCAAAGGATGAGAAGGAAGCCCTGGAGGACCATGATGGTGAGGGCTGCTCCAGCCCTGAAGGCGGTTCCAGGAAACTGCAGTTGAGCGTGTTCTCTAGGTCATGATGGGCCACTGAAAAAGAGTGAGGCAGAGTTGCCAAGGGCCTGCCCCTTCCCCATCTGTACCTTTAATTAGCCAAATGTGAACAAAGCGGTCATGACCAGGCCGCACAGAAAGCTGCAGGTGGGGCAGGAAGTTCAACTGAGTCACGTTAGGTCGGGGCTGAAGAGTGGGTAGCAAGCAAACCCAGTAAAGGGAAACGTGAAGGAAGCTGGGTGTGGTAGTGCATGCTGTAACCCCAGCACCCGAAGGTCTGAGGAAGGAGGGCCACTGTGAGCTTGTTGCCTGCCTAAGATACACAGCTGAGTTCCAGGACAGCCTGGCCTATGGTGTTAGACCCTGATTCAAAAAGAAAGGAAAAGAAACGGACAAATGGCTAAGAGCACTGGCTGCTCTTCCAAAGGACTGGGATTTCATTCCCAGGACGCTCGTGGTAGCTCCTAGTCATCTGTGACTCCAGTTCCAGAGGACCTGATGCCCTCTGCTGGCCTCCACAGGCACCAGGTACACAGCGGGTGCACACCTACATGAAGGCAAAACACCTTACACATAAAAGGAGCAAAAGGGTTTTAAAAGATAGTTTAAAAATCAGCAGGAGAAGATGTGAGCCAAGTGCAGCCGGCCGGAAGAGTAGACAAACGTGAGGAAAGCAGAGACGCTGGCACGGGTGGCCACCAGGCTCTCCCACCAACGCTGGGGACCCCCGGAGCACTTCAGAGTCCAAATGTGCAGGGGCAAGCCAACTGCTGGGCTCAGGCTTCTCAGCAGCCCTGATACCTCAGCTAGGACGAACCAAAGCACTGTCCAGCTGTCCCCTTTATGTCCTAAGAGACTGAACGGTCCCCACCAATCTTCAGAAAGAAGTCGCCTAAAGGAAGGGGCCACCGACTGGCCTGCAATCACACTGAACACCTACTAGAGACTCTGTAGGGGACCAGCCTGCCCTTTCCCGGAAAGGACTCCAGTGACTGGTGGGGAGCAAACTGATGGGTGTGCTCTACTGTGGGGTTCATATACACATGAGTGCACCAGCTCCCATGGGGTTCATATACACATGAGTGCACCAGCTCCCATGGGGTTCATACACACATGAGTGCACCAGCTCCCCTGCGGCTCTGCATATCAATGTAGGGTAGAGACCTACGGGTCAGGTGACCTGCCACACAATCCCTTGTGGATTCCCATGTCTCCTGCATACCCCCCAATATCTGCCCACACATCTTTCACTCCTTCCTTCCCCTACAGCCTCGCCCACAGCAGCATCCTCCCTTCCTTTCCCCCAACCGCAACTCTGCACTCACATACATCGAAACTCAAGCGCCCCCCCCATTTCTCACTGAGTCTTGTACCCCTTTGCATCATTTTCTAGAAACCTCCTGTAATGGGTTACCTCTGAGTCCCAGAGCCCACATTCTCACCTACGACTTTGGGTAGCTTCTGTCTGCGAAGCGGGATTCGAGGCAGCTTCATGCTGATACGGCTGAAGCTCCCGCAGAGGCGCTGAGGTGCCTTCTTCCTTCCAAGCGTGAGTTCCCTGCGGGGGCGGGGCCTGAGCGTAGGGGCAGGGCGGGACTGGGAGGGGCGGTCAATCTCGGTGGGCACAGAGAGGGGAGGGCCGGGAGAAAAAGAGGGCTGGGCCCTGCCCCAGGGGTGGGGTCTGGATTCAAGAAGCACGCCCAGTCACTGAGAGCGCGCGACCTAAACCAAGCGTTGGTTGGGGGCGGGCTTGGGGCCTCACCGGCGCGCCGGGTCCTTGCCCCGGCAGGCGCAGCAGCAACCGAGCAGCGAGAGCAGCAGGCCGAGGAGCAGCGTGAGCAGCGCGCCCGCGCCCATCACACCTTTGCGCTGATTGGTCTCTGTGGGGAGCAGCGGCTCAGCGCAGGATCACGCACCCCACTTCATTCCCTGGCCCGACGTTCTTCACCCACTCACCCAGGTGGCAGGCACCGGTAACCGGGTCGCATGATTCCTCGTGACAGTTGCAAGCCTGGGCGCAGTCCACGCCGTGGAGCCCGGCAGGGCATGTAACATTACAGCTGCAAAGTTTTGGGGTCAAGTAGGGCCGTGGTGGCTCCCCAGAATGCTTCCTTCCCCTGCAGCGGCAGTCACTGCTGGCTGGTTCCGGGTGCCCTATCCACGCCCCTAACTCCATTCTCTAGAGACTGAAGCCCGTCCCCACCTGAGGGCGGGCACTCACTGGATAACCAGTTCGGAAATGTGTGTGCTATCTGCAGGAGGGAGTCTGAAGGAACTGACTACGTGCAAGGGGAAAATGGAGGTCTACACCGTGTCTGTGTCACATCAAGGTGCCACTTTGACAGATTTCAGTCTGAGGGCAAACTTCAAATCAGATACTGCCCCAAAGTGCTCGCTGACACTCCCTGAGGCCTGGCTGGAGACCCTAGTGTCGGGTACATATTCCCTATCCCTCTCCAGGTCCCCCACTCACTGAGGTCCGTGAACACCAGGGCTGCAAAGGCAGCGTCCAGACTGGAAGTCACAGTGGCCGCTGCCGCAGTCAGAGCACACGAAGGCACAGTCCTCACCGTAAGTGCCATTACTGCACTTGGTCTCGCACCTTGGTATCAAGAGAGGAGGCATGAGCTGAAATGTTAAGCCACAAGGCCTACAGCGTCCACAGTGCAGGGACTACATGGGAGCCAGCACTAGGGAGCTGCGTGTCTGGGCCGAAGCAGGCATGGGCTGCTCACCGGTCGCCGATCCAGCCCGCATTACAGCGCGTACACTTGCCAGTGACATGATTGCAGGCGTGCCCGTCGCGGCAAGGCGGGCAGCGGTGGCTACAACCCTCGCCATAGAAACCAATGGTGCAGGGTTGGTCACATTTGGTTCCGTTCCAACCCGGTTCGCACGTCACACAACGGCCATCAGCTACAGTACAGGGCTGCTGGCCCTTGCACTGACCACACCTAGGAAAGGATCAGGAAGCTGGGCTGGATGGAGTTCCGCTTCACCCCTCCGCCTTCCCGCCACCGGGCCCCCATGCTTACCGACGGCGACAGCCCAGGCCATAGAAGCCAGCGGGGCATGGCTCGCGACAATACTTGCCCCGGTAGCCGGGATCGCAGGCGCACGTGCCGTCCACCGGGTGGCACCGACCGTGGAAGCACTGGCAATAGCGATCGCACCGTGCGCCGAACGTGTGCTCGCGACACTGGCAGCGGCCGCTCTGCTGCTCGCAGGGCGACGAGTTGCAGGCGCACTGGTTGTTGCAGCTGCGGCCCCACCAGCCTGCGTGGCACAGGCAGGCGCCGGTCTGCGGATCGCACCGTGATGTGGTGCTGCAGTAGCACGCGCTAGCGCATTGTGCGCCCCACCAGCCCGGCTCGCAGCGGCACGCGCCGCTCCGCGGGTGGCACGTGCCATGCTGGCACTGGCATGCATGCTCGCAACGGGCACCCCAGCGGCGCGCGTGACATGTACACTGTCCAGTCACGTCCTCGCACTGTCCGTGGGGGTGGCAACTGCATCTCTCCTTGCAGTCAGGCCCCCAGAACTGGCGCGGGCACTCTGCAAGAACCAGGGGGGAGGTTGAGTTGTTAGCCTGCATACACCCCACCCTCAGCTCCGCCATAGCCAGGCCCCAAAGTCAACCTATCCCAATCTGTCTCCCTGCCTAATTAGTTTCTCGCCAAGCAGCCCAATACCCAATCCCACCTCGCCCCGCGCTCACTAGTGTCGCAGTTGGCACCGAAGTAGCCATGTCGGCAGCGGCACTCGCCTGGCCGCACGCACACCTCGTTTTCTGAGCACGTGGAATTGCCTTCGCACACCGCTGCAAACAAGAAGGGCTGGGCTGCAGTGCGTGCTCTTTCCACCTCCGCCCTGTTCCCGCCTGCCCAGGACCCCAGAAAGCCCCACTCACCAATCCCACACTCATCCCCCAACTGCTTCCAGCCAGCGCAGCACGTGAGCACCTGGGAACTTGAAGCAGAGAAGGGACATCTGAGCCTGATGCCCTTCCCCCTACATTCCTTCCCCAGCCTTCATGGTGCCCCGCCTTGGCGAGGTGGTAGGACACCTAAGCCTGATGCTCGCCAGACAGTAGTAAGCAGGGGACTAACACATCTCCACCGCTACAAGCGCAAACTAAAGGAGCAAAGAGCAAGCCCCAAAAGCTCACCTTCAAGAACTGTCATCTACAGGGGCTCCGCCGCCATCAGCCTCAAGGGTAAGAAATGGGAATCAGCGGGGCCAAGAAGGGGCGGCAGTGAATACGGAGGAGTAGGGAGCCACCTGCCTCTCACTACCTTTTGAAGAACTAGCACGTTCCTGAGGGCTAGGGGCCTAGCCAGATGGGTGTTTACCCAAATGTGACATGACTGTGATGCCACTGTCAGATGGGCCCGGGGGCACCTGGATACCCACAGGAGGCTAAAACCCAGAGTGGACAAGCATCTGTGGAGGGGGTGGAGCCAAGTGTAGACTACAGGGAGAGTTCCTTCAGAAGGGTCGGCTGGAGGCAGGCACCTTGCTGTAGGCCAGGGGAACCACACATAGAAGTCAAAGCAAACTGAGGCCCAGTGCCCTCCCGAGGCAGGGAGGCTGGAGTATCTACTTGTATTTACTGTTTTACTCGTGTTGTTTGGCCTTGCAAAGTACACGCTGTGTCAGTTTTCAGGGGACTCTGTTGAGATGAAACCTTGAGCTACACCTCAGAGGTCAAATGTCTGAGTGCAGCATTTCAGGGTGCTACAGTTCGGAGAGGCCTCTGGTGTGAATGCCCTGTCAGGGAGCTAGGGAGGATGCCTCAGAGTCCAGCTGAGGTAGAGGGGACAGTCACTGAAATGACAGATTCCCAGAAGTCCAGAGTTTCGCCCCAGTCCTACAGAAATGTAGCATTCCTTTACATTTTAGAGGAAATGAGTGTGCTTCCCCTGGGGCTTGCGAATTCAGAACCCAGCAAGGGGCAGGAGCAGGTTGAAATGAAAGCTCCACACTGCCTGCTGCCCCGACCAGTTTGAGGTAATAGTCACACCGTAGATAGGATCCAGCTGCCTCCAAAAGCCCCCTGCCCAGTCAAAGTTCTGTTCGCCCCTCAGATCAAAGTTGGGACTTGAGGGACAGAGCCCATAAAACCTTAAACTAAGAGAACAGGCTTTGCATATTTTCCACAGATAAAGTGGAAACCACAGAAAAATGAAACAGGCCTGTTTTTTGCTGTCCCCATTGGACCACCCACCTTGTCCCAGGGATGTCAAGGACCCCTTCTCAGAAAGATCCACTTCCACCTGGTTCTAGACCAGATTGTCCAGACAGTGCCCCTTCACAGTTGCCAAGTGGCCTGCTGGGATCACCGGAAACACTGATCGCTGTCTTCCCTGGCTGACCTAGTACACGGTTCTGCGGTTGGGAGTCTGGGTGTAGGACGCTCAATGGTGTTTATAAGTCTGTCAGCGTAAGTTGCAGAGCAGACTGCAGTAACCAGCAAACTGTGCACATCTTAGCTCTTTCTTCCTGCCAGACCCATGGGTCCTGTCCTTTAAAACAAACATTTATCTCTCCCACTGTGTGCACGTGGAAGTTGAGGACAACTTGAGGAAGTCAGTTTTCTCCCACCATGAGGGTTCCAGCAATCGAACTCAGATCATCAGGCTCAGTGGCACGCTGGTCCTTTACCCACAGCTCAGCAGCCTCAGGCCCTACTCTTTAGCTAAAGAACCTGCAGCCCCAAGAAGTGCCTGGCATGCACTGGGCAATTCAGTCATGGGAGCAGGCCACAGGAGGCCTTGAGCACTGCCACCAACACTCAGCAGGGCCAGGCCCATCTGGGCTCACCAAGAGCAAGTCTTGCATTCTCACAAGGATCATCACTGCAGACAAGGATGGTTTGGCGAACTCATCCAATGGCTTACAAAGCCAAGTCCTTGTTCCTGGAGCCAGTGTGTGGTGCTACAGGTTGATGCTGGGGGGGGCACGATCACTGCTGTGTGGCATTTAGCTCATATCCCCCACCTTAGAGTCCACTCATTAGATCCTGTTCTGTCCCTGGTCATGCACAGACCCAACCAAGGAGGCTTCTGTGCTATCACCTTTTCTGGGTTCTCACATGTCTGGCTCTCCTCTGGCACCAGGTAAAGAGTCATGCCATGGGATCTGCTACAGTGTGGCCTGCCCCCTCAACACTAGCCTTGTTAATGCAACTGCCCACTAGATGACATGACAATCTAGAGAGCTCGGGAGTGTCAAAAACCAGCCCCCTCTGTCCTCTGTCTCTTCCTTCTCAGGTTGCCCCTGGCCTGTCCATGCTGGGAAGTTGAGGCCATGCCCACACCAGATCTACTGAAAAATAAGCTTGCTTTCTCGTCCAGATTCTATGCAAGTTAGGCTCTGGCCTCCTGAGAGCCACCTTTCACCTGGCAGCTAACCCATCTGCCTGGTGCCTCAAAGCTCATCCTTATCTGTTGGGTGTCCCCTCTATAAAAAGCAGTCTCATTCTCAAAGCACTAGACACACCTCGTGTGAGCTTGGCACGCACGCCCCGCCCCCCCCAGCATCTGCGGGCTTCCAAGGAACTTTCAAGAAGGAGGAGGGGTGTTGGGTGAGTTGTGCCCCAAATACCCTCAGGGCTGCCCCCTTCTCTCCTGTAGGTCTGTGCTCATCATGGCAGGTCTCCCCTGATCATGCTAACGGAAATGGCACCCCCAACTCAATAACCACTCCCTGGCCAAGGCAAGAGTCTCTGCGGCAGAGTCTGCACTAAAAGGTTCAGCGCCCAGCTCCCGCCTCTCCCTCCTGGGCCTCATTCATTTTAATCACAAGGATGGCCCAGACCTCGGGTGGGCACAGTCCAGAGGCCGTTCTTTCCACAAACGCTCCACACACTGTCACGGCAACCTACCCCCATCTCCAGCACCCAGGAACTGAGGTCCATCTAACCCCATTTTACAGAGATGGGGGCAGAAGCAGAAAATGCAAGTATTTTTCAGATCCAGTCTGCTGCTAGGGTATGAAGGTAAATGCAACGCCGCTGTGGCTTACAGAGACAGCCCACCTCCTGCCAAGGTAGACCAGCAGGAATGTTGGAGGCCAAGGGTTCCCCACTCCAGCTTGACCCACTACCCGTCAAGAGGAGGAGAAGACCTGGTGCGGGCTGACCGCCCTCCCCAGGCACCGCCCCGCCTGCCTTGCCGCTGCATTCCTGGGGCCGGGGAGGCCCGGGACGAGGCGGCGGCGGCAGCGATGCGAAGCAGATGGCTAGCCAGGCGGGCCCCCGCCTCCGAGGCGGGGCTCAGGGCCGGGAGTGGTTTTTGAGGCATCTCGACCCGATTTCGGAAACCGCGCGGTCAGCTAGCGGCCCCTTGTCTACTTTGGCCCTCCGAAACCCTGGCTGACGTTTCGCACCTCCGGGGGTGGGGTGGGTCTTAGACCCAGGGCGCCCCCGTGGGCCCCAGCCTGGAGTGCCAAAACAGTCTCCCCAGTGCCCGCAGAGGCGCCCCCACCGCGGGTTCCTCGCCTCTGTGCAGAGATGACTTGAGAGTGTCGTGGATCCGACCAGCGGACAGGTCCCCCCGGCTTCTGCGCCTACTCCGCGTCGCTCTTCACCCTCTGCGCAGGCTCCGGGCTCCACTGCCTTCTGCCTGGGCCTGTCCCACACCGGCTTCCCCAGCAAGACACCCACCTCCGCGCACCCCGTGTCCTCCCCTTGGAGCCGACAGGGGTTCCCACGTCCTCCCATCGCGCGTCCATCATTGTCCTCACCACTCCTGTTTCTGGTCCAACGTGAGCGCTGGCTTTTCCGTGCTCACTTCCACTGCCATCCTCCTCCCACCCCGTCCTTCCAAGTCTCAAGTCCCCAGTGCTCAGCTCGCCCGAGTGTTGCCCCTTCGCAATTCTCACCCCCACTCCAGGCTCAAGTCACTGACTCCCGGAGCCTATGCATATACTCTTCCCTCTCTCGGAATGTCCTTCCTTGGCTTTGAGAATAACTTTTCTGGTATTTCCTAACATTTCTGGACACCACATAGTACAACTTCTGGGGGCCCATGGCACTCCGTTATCCCCTCAGGTGATTTCGGGTCCGGTCGGCCCTCCGATGCACCCCGGGGACCCAGGCTCGGCCTGGAACCGAGCCCAGGTCGCGAGGGAGGCCCGAGGGGCTCGTGTGACCAGTTTAGCGAGGTTCTGGATACCCCGGACTGAAACGGGGCACCGCTACCCCCAGCCCGCTTCGCGCCCCACGCCTCGGACAGGCCCAGCTCCTACCCGGGCGCGCGGCACACGTTGCGGCCTCGAGGGTTCAACTCCTGGGGCGCCGCGAGAGCGGTCAGCAGCCAGAGCAGCAACAGCGGCGGCGGCGGCCCTCGGGCTCCCTGGCACCACGCCGGCCCGGCCCCCCCGGGACCCTGCGCCCTCCATGAGGCGCGGGGCAGGCGCGGGTGGGCGCGGGCGCGGGTGCGGCCGCTGCAAGGGCGGCCGGAAGCGGAGTGCGAGGCCGGGCGGGGGGGCGGCAGGAGGGGCGCCGGGCCGGGCAGGAAATTCCACATCGGCTCCCTGATCCTGGGCCAGCGCGGCCGGCCAGGCGGCAGCGCCCGCCCCACGCACCAGACCCCACCCTCCGGCCGCGCCTCCGCCCCTTTGCTCGGCCCCCGCCCCCACCTGGCCACGCACGAACTCCGGGGCGAACTTGGTGAGGGCCCGCGCAGCGGAGCGGGAGGAAGGAACTGCGGGAGCCCGCAAAGGAGTCTTGGTCCCCGCCTTTCCTACCCTCTCGTCAGACAGCCCTGAAGCCGCCAGATCTGGGAGTGAGGGGCCTCAGCAAAGGCTCTGGGGCACACACTGGCTTCGGGTTCGGACCAAGAACCCCCAGTTGTCCTACGGTGTGATCCACATCTTCTGCAGCATGCAAGAGACGACTAAGCACGATGTAGGCAAAGATCCGTGGAAATGCACTGGAGACCTAGGGAAAAGAGCTCACTGCAGGAAATACTGGAGAGGTGGGAGCAAAAGGACCAGCCAAAGTCTCTGGATATGATGTGGAGGCAAAGACAGGGAAGGGAACATTGGAGATGGAAACTGAAACCAGGAAGCCCAGTTATGGGGTAAAGAGGAACTGGGGTGCCCAGGACATGGCTTCAACTCAAGAAGGCTACTGACTCCCAAGAGGGAAAAGTCCAGAAAGTGGAGTCAAGACTGATGAATGGAGACTGTAGGGTAAAAGGGCCAGCCAAAGAAGCGCACTCTGGCCCTGAAACCAGAGCCAACAAAACACTCCCTGATCAACTCAGTACAAAGCCCAATCAATCCCTGAGCAGGAAAACCAACCAATCCCTGAGCACGAAAATCTAGCCAGTCTCTGAGCTTGTCCAAGCTTAGGGATTGAAATCTGACCAATTCTCATCCTGGGAAAACCCTGGCTCTAAGAAGCCCTATATAAGCCCTGGGCCTGTTCCGTTTGCTGCTGCCTTCTTCATCCTGGCAGAGGCAGCCGCCCTCCTGGATTCTTCCCTCTCCCAATCTCTTGAAAGAGGTTTGGGTGAGACTTTCTTTCGCTGGAATGGAGCAGAACTGTAACGACTGAGCAGAGTTGTTACTGGGGAAGCCTTTCCCTGCTGCTATGCTTATGGTAACTTTGTGGTATTCCTTGGCTTCGGGCTATCAGGACCCCTCTTACATCAGGACAAGCAGAGCCACAGAGAGGCTACTAAGTAGATTGATCTGTCTCTACCAAACTTGCTTTTCAGGCTCTATCAGATAAGGGAAACAAGAAGTCTTTTGAGGCTTGTAAGTTTCCTTCACCAGGAACCTCCAGTGACCTTAGTATGACATCTGCATGCCTGTAAAAGGAGCTGCAGAATCTGTGACCACACTAGCACCAACTTGGCCATGACTAAAGGTGTCCCCCTCCCACGCCTCTACATAAGCTTAGCGATGAGATGGCGGCTCAGGCAGGCACCCTCTGTTCACTGCTCTCAGTAAAGCTCTAGTTTCCTCACTGCTTGAATCACTGGCTTCACCCAGGGATAACCGAACGAAATACCACAGTCCAGTTCAGAGGGGAGCAGGTTGGAGCTGTACGATTCCAGGAGAGACAAAGCAAGAGAGCTCAGGAAGTAGGTTGTACCCCATTGGCAGCCAGGTCCCATCAAGGAGGAGTTTGTCTTTCTGCTTGAGGGGAAAATCAGACAATATCCTGGGTAGCAAGCAGAAGGCACCTTGAGTATCAGGGGCAGGTGGTGTAGCAAGGGAGCCTGAAGGACTGAGTTGTTACCAGAACAATGAACAGGCCAAGGCCATAGGTGTTAGCAGGCTGGGGGTGGAGTAGGGGACCTCAGGCCTCTTTGCAGCCCTCAGACTGGCTAGGCTGGTGGTGCAGAGAGGAGGTGGGGTAGGTAAAAGGAAGTGTTCCCATGTGGTCACAAATGCAAACACTTCTCAGCCCAAGTCAATAAGCTGACCACTTCTGGGAAGCTGAGCCTGAGCCCTGTCCTCAGCGGCACCCTCCCCAAGGAGGCTCCCATGGCTGCTACCAGCAGAGGTTCGTGTGGTTGCAGTGTTCACCCCAAGCTTTATACTGACCTCACTGGACCTGAAGGGAAACCTGGGCTGGGCCAAGTTCCAATGGCATCAACTTAACACTCTTACCATAGACCAACTCCCAAGCTTGAAGTCTGTGAAGGCACAACCTGCAATGAACCCCTCCTTAGAAGGCCTTCAGTGTCACCCACATATCCCATTTACCCACCTTCCTAAACCAGGGTGGGCTCCTGCCTGGGTACCTGGCACACATTGCAACCTTGTAGGTCCAACTCTTGAGACACTGTGGATGGTGACTTTCGATGTTGTCTTACTTTCCCTGTTGCTGTGACAAATATGTTGACAAACACAACTTAAAGAAAACTTTAGCTGGGTGTTGGTGCTGGCATACCCTGAATCTCAGCACTCGGAAGACAGGACCTTTATGAGTTTGAGGCCACACTCTTCTACCTACATAGCAAGTTCTAATACGCCCAGGATGTATTCACATAGAGATCCTGTCTCAAATAAATAAATAAATGAGAATATTAGAAAGAAAGATTTACTGTGGTCCACAGTTTGAGGTTGGAAGTGGTGACACTGGGCACTGGGGGACATTAGAGACTTCACACCTCCCTGTGGTTGCAGGCAGGGGGCCTAGGACTGAGATGAAACCAAGGATAGTTCTTGTTCTGAGAGTGCAATGCAGACAGAGCCAAAATACATGGCCAGAAAGACCCAGATGAGCTCGGAGGGCTCCCCCTGCCCTTTGGGCAGCCAGATCACTCTGTAAACACTGATCACATTGGCTTGGTTGACAATAGTGTTAGGAGACTGGTGCACAAAGTACTTTGAGACCTGCTAAACAGTGTTCCTCCTTAAAACTGGGGAGAGGACACTGGAGCAAATGGCTCTCTTCAGGCAGATGTCAATATTTGGGTGGGGGTTTGTCACTCTGAGGTATCTGTGTGATATCATGCTTTTCTAAGGGCCCAAGATCCTAAGATGTTGGGGAAGTCCTTTGTCAGTAAAGCACTGCTGGCCAATAGGAATCTAGATAGGAGGGACTAGGAGTCCAGGAGGACTCTGGGAAGGAGAAACACAAGAGAGTCGAGATGTAACGCCATGGGGTAGGAAGCCCGGAAACTTCTCCGGTAAGAGACATACTTAGATTAACAATTATGGGGTAATTACTTAAGTCAGAGCTAGCCAGTAAGAAACAAGCAAGGCCAATAGCTTCATAATTAATATAACCTCCTGTGTGTTTATTTGGGACTGATGCGACTTTGGAACCAGGCTGGCGGGAAGGCTTCTCTCAAGGAAAAGCTTCCTTTTACACTAAGACAGTGAGGTTACACATGTGGCTTGTTGGGAGGTGTCAACTCCAGGTCTCCAACCCACTGCCTTCAGGGATCCAGAGCAAGCAACTACCCTTTCTCAGTCCGTGCCTCCACCATACCACCCTTTTTGTATTCTCCCCTTCCTTGAAAGGGCACCAGAGGGAAGAATGGGTGTTCCCTCTGCCCGGCTGTCCATTCTGGCAAGAGGCCGGTGGCCTGTGATAGGAATCTGCAATTGAAGACCTTGTAGCAAATGGCAGGAAAAGTGTTCTGGGAACAAGACTGATGCTTGGACCCTGAGTGCGCCCATGTTGAGCATGGATCTCTCTGGACAGCTCCCAAAGGGGTTAGGGAGGTTCTGGTAAAGGGGAGTAGAGCTCTTGCCTGCTATGCCAATGCAGCCTCCAAGATGATTACCCAAGGGTCATCTGACAAGCTTTTGGGAAGTCAGGTGGGAAAGTACTATATAGGCACCCTTCCTCCTGTACCTTAGATCTATTTCCTGACAGACCAGGACATTGTACGTCCCATCCCACACTGCCTTTCCGTTTTCATGAATGGATCATATTCTAGGCAAGTGCTCCAGCACTGAGCGGCACCCCAGCCCTCAGAGCTTTCTACCTTAGGAACCCAGTGAACTGAACCATCCTGGGTTCTCCAAGGAAGATGAGACTAGCAACTAGCGTGTGTGGGGGGCAGCAGGAGCTGGTGAGCCACAGAGCAGACATACGAGATGTCCTGACTAGGAGAAAGGCAGTTACTTGCCACCTCTGTTGGGGCAGGTCCTGGTCTCTGCAACCAACATTCTTTCAGACTATGGAGCTCATCTGATGTCCGAAGCAGGGTAGTGACCTCATGGTCCTTGAGTTTCCATGCTAAGTGCAGCCCCCAGGGCAGCTGATTTGAAAACTGTGCCTCCTGGATGCCACTCAGAGATGCCCTGACTGGAGAAGAAAGAAATGCAGACCGTGGCCACAGAAGACACAACACCTTTTGTATAATGTTTTATTTCATTTTCAACAATATTGGGTCAGAAACACACAGTTATGTGGGCATCTCCTCATCCCTAGGACCAGCTCTGGGTACACGGTTTCCTCTGTCCCTTGAAAGCTCACCAGCTGCTCAAGGCCCTGACTGCAGGCAGCTGGAGCTGTTCACCAGACCATTTGGGTCAAGGAAGAAGGGACTCATGAACTTTGGCCACGGTTAGAACTGCTATCCCCCAAGATCTCTTGCAGGAGGGACCTTACTTAACCCATCAGAGACCAGACTAAGGGGAAGAAGAGGCCAAAAAGAGATACCAGCCCTTCAGAGTTCACAGAGGATGGGCCTGATCACTCCCTCAGCTGACAGCAGTCTTTCTGGAGAACTTTTCCTTATAATATAATTCACAGCCATATAGTTCGCAAATACTGGCAGCAAGCTGGTTGAAGAAACAGAGTGGAAAAGAGCTTGGGAAGGGCGCTACCCTGGAGCCTGGTATTTTAACCCAGGCCCTGTGGCCTTCACTGTCCCAGTTACCCCCATCAAACACTAGGCATGAGATCCCTAGTCCTCACTAGAGTTGTCAAACTCCTCCCAGTCCGATACACTCATCACTTCAGAGGCAAAGTCTGCATCTGCCTGGCTGCGGTTGGGGGTCCCTCGGGGTGGCTCACAGAGCAGGGAGCGGGGCAGGGTGAGCACACAGGCTGCAAGGCCAGAGATGGAATTGTTCAGCTGAGGCCCCTCTTCCCAGCAGTCTTTCTCTATGTCGTAGATGTGCACGTAGCCCGTGCGGCTGCCTCGGTTGTGAGAACGGCCACCCAGCACATATATCCTGTTGTCTAGTACAGCAATGCCAGGTTCACCATGCCCAGCTGGGAGTGGGCAGACCATTGACCACTGCCGAGATGTGCAGCTGTAGCAAGCCACCTGCAAAGCCAAGGTTAGGGTCAACACAGGCAGCTTCTGGGACAGGTTGCCAGCCCAGCACAGGTCACTTTGTCATTGGCTACTCCCACCTCTCTTGGCTGTAGGTCAACATCTTGCTTCCCTGACCTTCAGCTAAGAGTGCAGGGGTGCCCCTCCCATCATCTCCATATCAGTCCTGCTTGTCTCCCACTCCCATGGACCCCACCTAATCTTTCCCTCCTTCATAGCACCCCATTCATACTTGTGAGAGCCTGTGGAAGCAGTTATTTGCTCACCAATCATGACTACCACCCTTCTTCTCATACACTGTTGGGAAAAAACCAACCTACTGGTAATCCAAGAAATGTAATACCAAAATGTCATCTGGTAACCAGCAACCATGGAAAGAAGGAAGGAAATCATAAAACCCAATGCTGGCGAAGGGGTGGCAAAGCCAGTTTGCACCTATTTCACATGCCAGGAAGGGAATTTAGTCATATGTATTAAGAGACACTTAAATGCCGGGCATTGGTGGCACATGCCTTTAATCCCAGCACTTGGGAGGCAGTGGCAGGTAGATTTCTGTGAGTTTGAGGCCAGCCTGGTCTACAAAGCAAGTTCCAGGACAATCTCCAAAATAATACAGAGAAACCCTGTCTCAAAAAAACCAAAAGAAAGAGAGAGAGAGAGACACTTAAATCTCTTCTTCAAGCTGGGCAGTGGTGGTGAACACCTTTAGTCCCAGCACTCGGAGGCAGAGGTAGGCGGCTCCTGGGAGTTCTAGACCGGCCTGGTTGATGTAGCAAGTACATATTCACACCCTGTTTTATAAACAAACAAATGAATAAATACTGCCATGCAGTCCTGGCTGGCTGGACTCTGGTGTGTGGATGGCACAGATGTGAAACTTGTGGCAGTTCTTCTGGTTTGCTCCTAAGTGCTGGGGCTACAGGCCCAAGTAACAATTTATGTGTGCATGGTCTATCTCATGCACACCCTTATGCCAGAAGAGGGCATCAGATCCCACTAGAGATGGTTGTGAGCCACTATGTGGTTGCTGGGAATTGAACTCAGAACCTCTGGAAAAGCAGCCAGTGCTTCTGAGTCATCTCTCCAGCACCATTGCTCAAAATCTTATCTGTTTCACTTAGCAATCAAATTGAGGTTCTAGGTATAATAGGCAAAATAATGCCTCCTCACCCCAGGATGTCCTCATCCTAATCTTTGGAACCCATTAATGTGTTATGTTACATGGCAAAACTAACTTTACAGGTAGGATTAAGGGTTGTATGTAAGTTTTTTTTGGGGGGAGGGGTGTTATTTTCTAGGTAGACCCATCTACATACAGCTTTGGGTTTGGTTTGGAGACAGGATCTAGATACACAACACCCTGTATGTAGCCTATAACTTTCTATGTAGACCAAGCTGGCTTCAAACTTTGCTGACATCAATTGGTTCAGGACTGAACCACTGTGGCCAGTCTACAGACAGTTCTGACTTAATGTTTCACTTAAAAACTCTCAGCTTTATATTGCTATATATTTTGGCAGAAACCATTGTTCAGAGTTTAGACTTGGCCTTTTCATGAGTTGGTAAACCCAGTACAATTCTTGTGTGATAGTGGGTGAGAGGGTGAGCTACAGCCTGTGTCAGCTACTCCATCTTGAAGGGAAACACTGAGCTCCTACAGCATCCCGTGTGGCTAAGTGATGACAGACCATAGGTCAGGGTGCTAAATGCATTTGTATGTGTGTGGAGGCCAGAGATCAAGCTCATATGACGTTCCTCAGGAGTCACCATCTTGTTTTTTGAGACAGGATCTCTCACTGAGACCTAGGCTCAACAATCAGCAAGCTCCAGCCTGTCTACAAGAAGCAGCACTGGGTTACAACCAGGCACCACCATGCCCAGTTTTTTGTGTTGTCCTTGTGCTTGTATGGAAAGCACTTCATGGACTAAGATATTTTCCTAGCCTGGTTAAATGTACAGCTGAGCTAGGATATTTTTAGTTTGTTGTAAGACTACAGATATACAATCCTATCATGAATGGGAGAACACCTTTAATTGTATAAGTACTCAAAATAAGAACGGAGAAAGCCAGACAGAAGGGATAGGAAGGAGGACTCCACCTGCCCTTACTGGCTTATAGACAAAGTGGTTGCCATGAGGGAAGGCAGCCAAGAAAGGCAGTCTACAGCTAGCCAGGAAACGGAAAGATACCTGTTGACACCTTGATGTCAGCCTGCTGGACTTACGGCTGTGATAATAAATTTGTGTTATTAAGGTTTATGGCGATTTATGATAGAAACTTATACATTAGGTCAGGTTCTACCTTGTGAGGAAATGTTAATTCAGGTTGTCAAGCCCTACTCCCAGAACTTCCAAATCAATGGTCTGGGGTAGGGATTGAGATTCGTGAACCTGAGAGAACCCCAAACCCCTGACCAGCTCTTCAATGCCAGTATTATCCATAGTGTAATGTGGAGTAAAGCTCAGACTAACCCAAACGATACACTGACCTAACAAGATGCTGCCAGCTCCCAGAGTGGGGCAGGCAGTAGTTACAAAGCTGGCCCACGGGCACAGGCCTGTATTTCCAGCTAAAAGAGTAAGGCAGGACTGCCCAAGTTACGAGTTCTGACAGGGTTACAAAATGAGTTCAAAGTCAGCTTGGGCAACTTAGTGAAAAAAAAAAAAAAAAGGAAAAAGACACCTGTAGATTAACTCTGTGGTAGAATTTCTCTAACCCATGTGAGATCCTGGGCTTAATTAATTTCCCAATATGTACACACACACACACGTATGTTAAACTGGAGAATGCTAGGGACAATGCTGGTGAAAAAAGTACATTTTGTGTCTTTACTTTCATTTCACTGCATAGCCCAGGCTGGTCCCAAACTTGCAATCCTCTAGCTTCAGACTGGAATTCTGGGGTTGCAGGAATGGACTACCACACTTGGCTTGGGATGCTCTTTCACTATGAACAACTAGAAGCAAGTCACAGACAGACTGAGAGCGAACAGTACAGGCAGAGGGGATGAGTGCTTCTCATTTTTTTCTCTAGTCTTTGTTAGAGGGTTGACAATGTGGGTATGTTAACTTATAGAGTTTTTCTATGTAGACACTGGCCTGGAACTCACTCTGTAAACCATGCTGGCCTGGAACTCACTCTGTAGACCATGCGCCTGCCTCTGCCTCCCGAGTACTGGGATTAAAGGTATATATCACCACTGCTTAGCATGGGTATATTAACTTTTTGATGAAACATAATAACCAAATGCACAAGTGAAACTACTATGGTAGTCATATGTATACATTATACAGAATGTGCAGCAGTAAGTATGGGTCTTCATGAAAGCTGTGGGCTTGGAGTGATATGAGTTCAACAACCCTAACACATGTGCCCTTCTGGTGAAGGACATATATACATACATATATAGTATGGAGGCTATGCATGAATGGAGGGTGCATGGGAACTCCCTGGACCTTCTGCTCAGTTCTGAGGTTGGTGGCCTGGGCCCAGCTCACCTGGTGCACATCCCTCCTGTAGCCAGCATCATTGTTGCTGCCTCCAATCACAAACAGCTTGTCGAGGAGGGCAGCCATGCCATGCCAGGCACGTCGCACAGGCCCGTCAGCCAGAGTATGCCATGTGTTGCTTTCTGGGTCGTAGCAGTGCGTCTCTTTCAGGTAGTCCTCTCCTCTGCGACCACAGGTGATGTACATCTTTCCCTGCAGTGTGGTGCCTGCATGGGCATATACCTGTTTGGAGCCACCATGAGATCCAGGAAAGGTAGAGAACGGGCAAGAAGACAGTAAGGAAAGAGGCCAGTAGCAGCTGCCTCCACCACCCTGCACCTGCCTGACAACACATCAATCAAGGTTTCGCCACATCTGATGTACCCTCGCATACTGAGGAGAATACACCCCAATTCTATTTGAGTATGTTGCCCGACTTGTTGACCCCAACCTCTTTCCAAGAGGGTATGTTATCTACAGACCCAGAAATTAAATGTAATCTTTATGTTCCTTTGTCCCTAAAGGAAACATCTGGATGGGGAACAAGAAAACTAAGGCCCACTTTCCAAACTGCCAGAGAAGCACACTGGCAGCGAGGACCCACCCTTGGTGGCTTCAACTTTCCACCAGACACCTTCCTAGATGTGTCTGCAGATAGTTCCCACCCACAGGAAGACAAGGAAACGATTGAGACAAAGCATCAAATATAATTAGCTCTCCATATCCATGGGTTTGCATCTCTGGATTCAACCAAACAAGGATGAAAAACACTCAAATACTCTTCCAGGACACCCAGGTTCAATTCCCAGCACCCACATGGTAGCTCACAAGTGTCTATAATTCCAGAATCCAACACTTCACACAGACATACATACAGGCAAAACACCAATAAAAATATTTTTTTTAAAAAGGAGACCCCTCCAACCACAGTTACAACTCCCACAATGAGCACCTAAAACTAAAGGAGTTAAGTCTCCAACCGCTTACATGTATTTTGTCTTTATCATCATCATCATGTATGTGCACATGTGTGCAGAAGTCAGTTCTTTCTTACTCTGTGAGACCCAGGGGTAAAACTTAAGTTGTTAGGCTTACACGGAAAGCATCTTTATTCACCAAGACTCTGTCTTTAAAAACTTCTCCTTGCCCACTCCCTTTGGACACACCTGTCTATGCTCCACCACAGCACATGTATCCTAGAATGCCTTGCTGTTCCTGAACAAACACTTGGATTTGGAGGATTGGTCTCTCTGTTGTCAGTTTAAATTGACAACAGTCACACCATTCCTCTCCTGGCCCGTACCCCTATATCCAATGTCTGATAATCACCAATCTCTTCCCTATTTCTACAATGTTGTCATTTCAAGAACAACATACAAATAAGATAGAACAGGTCTGGTCTTGTTTTGAAATAGGGTTTCTCTATCCTAGAATTCTCTGTGTAGCCACGGCTGTCCTGAACTCACTATGTAGATCAGACTGGCCTCAAACTAAGGAAGACCGCCACCCCCAGCCTCTGCCTCCCAAGTGCTAAGATTAAAGATGTGCTCCATCTCACCTGGTCTGAAAACAGAACCTTTATTACTGGCTTTCTATCCCTGACTAGGATCTCCATTACCCAGTTAGTTCCTTTTTATTGCTGTCAATCAACCACAGTTTATTTAGCCATTCAACTGTTGATGGATATCTAATTTGTTCAGTTTCTGGCTACTATCCAAAAAAGTGGCTATTAATATTCATGGTGCATGCCTTTAATCCCAGCACTAGGGAAGCAGAGGCACGAAGATCTCTGAGTTTGAAGTCAGCCTGGTCCATGGAGCTACAGAGAAACCCTGTCCTGAAAAACAAAAAACAAAGAACAAACAAAGAGAAAAAAAAGACAGGGGCTTGCTACATAGCCCTGGAATTCACAATATAGACCAGGCTGACCTCAGACTGGTTGTGACCCTCCTGCCTGTCTCCCAGCACTGAGATCATAGGCATTGTCGCACATACGGTCCTGTTCTGGTTCCTCTGTCAAAGGGTCTAGTTTTACACTGAAACTGATGGACCACTTTGAGTGACCTCCATACCACTCTTTAGTCCTCCCATTTCTCTACCTCCACAGGCCTGGCCCAGCCCTAGACCAACACTGCCCTCCTTCCTCCTCCTCTTTACTCTTCAGGCTCTCTGCTCTTCACGAGGCTATCAGGTCTGTCTCTCCCTGCTCTGGAAGGCCCTTAGCCACTGAAAACGGCTAATTTATTTTTATGTCTTACTCTGGCACTTACTCAGATAGACATTCCCCAAATAATATATCTCCACTTAATCACTGAGAGTCCTGAGCCCTCCAGAACTCCTCCCCCTCTTCACTTCTCTTATCTACTCACGGTCACTGTAACTACTCCAGCGGTGCTTGGGATGAGACCACCTGGTGGAGGAGCCTTAGTGCACAATACAGAAGAGGTGGTCACATGCATGAAGGAATGAAGGGGACTAGCAGCTGAATAAGTGGAGTTCAAGATGAAGAACTGCAGCTTTGCCCACAGATGCCCTTCGCCCACAAACCTTTCCCAAACCCCTGGAATAGGCTCTACCAGCTCTCAAGAGCCCCAGATATTTTCCATGCAAAATCTGCTCCTTTCTCTAGAACTAGGGCAGAACTTTCTTCCCTGGGAACAAGCTAAAGAGCAAGGACCTGGCACACCTGGAGCCTGCAGAAAGGACGACATGAATGGGGCCACTTTGTGATTTCTCAGGAGATCCTGATCTCAAGCCAATGAGGTCAAAGTCTTAATCCCCACAGGTGTGAGGAAGGGTGAGCGAGAAATGGCAGGTAGTGGGAAGCACTCCAAAGCCAGAGGAGTTCCGCCCAGGCCCCTCACTGGGGCAGAGATTTTGTTTTTCAAAAGATTTATTTATTATGTATACAGGGTTCTGTCTGCATGTACGCCTGCCCACCAGAAGAGGGCACCAGACTCATTACAACCATGTGGTTACTGGGAATTGAACTCAGGACCTCTGGAAGAGCAGCTAGTATTCTTAACCACTGAGCCATCAATCCAGCCCAGTGCGGCAGTTTTTTTTTTTGTTTTTGTTTTTTTTTGGTTTTTCGAGACAGGGTTTCTCTGTGGCTTTGGAGGCTGTCCTGGAACTAGCTCTTGTAGACCAGGCTGGCCTCGAACTCATAGAGATCCACCTGCCTCTGCCTCCCAAGTGCTGGGATTAAAGGCGTGCGCCACCAACACCCGGCACGGCAGAGTTTTTAATGTGTGACCATCCTGATTCTGGAGTACCCGGCAATTCCTAAGGTGTCAGCCTGGGGCAAGTGCATAACAACCCCAACACCTTTCCTCAGAGGCCAAGGCTTTAGAGCTGACACCAAGACCCATTCCTTGCCCTGGGATCCCACAGGTGGTCTGTGGCTTGGCCAAAGAATCCCAGAACCAGAAAAAGAACAAGATGTACCCCATAAAGCATTACCTTTACATCATGTACATAATTTTAAGCATCTCCAAACTGGACTAAACCCAGGTGCTATGCTGTATGTACATGATTATTATTGTCTTTATGAAAATAAAACTTCCAAAGCATTGTGTGGCCTCTGGAAGGTCCTGTGGTTTTCCTGTAGGGGAGGAGTTTGAGGACAACCTGTGAATCAGTGCCCTCCAGTCTCTTCAAGTCCCTCTGTTTTGACATATTTGGAAATCTTCCAGCTTGTGTCAGCAAGAACAGATAAGGGGAAAATTTCCATCTATACAGAAGTATAGGGACAAGGTGAGTGGCAATCTCACCACATGAAACTCATAATGGTCACTGGTCTGACAGGTTCACCACTTACAGAATCCTGGGAGAGACATGGCTTCCGACTACCAGGCCTGAGTCCCTGACTTGGGACCAGGACCAGTCTTAACACCTGGGCCTCTGAGTACAGCCCATGGAAGGAAACTGGGAAGACTCCTGTTGGAGGGCTTCCTTACCTCCCTCTTGAGTGGGGCCACATAATCCCAGGAGTTGGTGGCAGGATCATAGCGTTCCACAGCATTCAGGTCATTGTGGTAGTCACGGCCTGCCACAGCATAGATGTACTTGCCCACGACACACACACACAGATCTGCATGTTCCTGCTGCAAGGACTGGATCTGGAACCAGCGATTGTGCCTCGGGTCATACCTTTGGAGGACATGAGGACAGCACATCACTGAGTAGGAGAGCAACTTGGCTTTCAGGCCTACACTTCCTACTCCACCGCTTCTTTGCTGCAGCCTGGTCTGAACACCCTCCATCCTGGCATTAGGCCCTGCTGATCCAGAGCCGTGACAGAGGTTCATGGAGCACCGTATACTCACAGCATGGCCTGGAATGTAGTCAGGAACCTCCTGAGTTTCTGCCCATGAGGTGCACCCCTTACAGGAACCTCTAAGCTTTGTATCTACCCAAATGTTCATCACAGGCTGTGCCACCTTCCTCTAACCTGTACTCCAGATTGGGTACATCGGTCTCCTCCAACATTCTATTATGTGAGGTCTGCAAAGGCCACCCTAGTACTATCACATCCTTGTTCTTAGATAACCATAGGCTCCCTTCAGCCCCCATCATACACCTGAAAAAACTATACTGGTCTCTGATTGGTGGCTTTCCTGACTTCTCACCTAGGGAAGTCTTCCCCACCCCCATATTCTCAGGACATCCTTCTTGCTCAAGTGGGTATGTCAACTTTCACTTTGAACTGTGGTCAGAGGAACAGGATGCTGTGAGATTCCAGGAGCCCCACGAAAGGAAATGGAACCCACTACATGAAAAAGATGAGGCTGTCTACATGAAGCCAGAGGATCCTGAAGGACCAGGAAGGCCTCTGGCCTAAGGCTACCCTGGGGCAATCTGCAATGAACAGTCCAGGCCAGAAGTGCACGGGAAAGAGAAGGGTGTGAGGCAGGAATGGAGAAACATTCGCCTCTGCCAACCCCTTGCTGAGAGTGGGACTCTCAAGCACTGTTACTACAGCTTACTTTCCTGTTACCAGGACACATTATGCCACTTTCAGAGAAAATACAGTGTCCCCAAGTCACAGCTTTGTTTCCATCACAACTGGGGGAAAAAAAGCCAACCCTCAAGCAACAAACACCATGCAACCTTGCACAGGGCCAGGCCTGTCACTGCTGCTCCACGTTGGTTGCCGAGGGTGCCCCTCCCTTCTTTTTGCTATGTCTCTTACCCACTACTGCCTAAACGAGCCTTCCAATTCCCCCAGGGTACTCTCAGCTACCTGACAGGTCAACTGTCACCCACCAGTCTCTACTGTGTTTTAGATCTAGAACCTGACTGCTCACTTAACCATCCTCAATAGAGTCCTGCATTCCCCATCAATACCAGCAAAAACCATGCTTCTATATGGACACCCATTCCTGAGGCCTTCTACAGCCTAACTCCATGCTCATTTTCTTTCTTCTTCCACCACAGCAGGGAATCAACAGCCACTGGATTCGAGGCAAGCACTCTACCATCAAGCTACGTTCCCAGCCTCAAACTTGCTAAATCCCAAGCAGACCTTTCACTCCCAATCCTCCTGCCTTAGTATCCCAAGCACTAGACAATAGGTGTCCATGACTGTGTTCAGGTGACCAAGCTCCTCTTAGTGGATTCATTTTCTATTTTGTTTCTGCTTGTATTATTATGTATATGTGTTCATGATTGGGGAGATGACATGCCATGGCATGTATGTAAAGGTCAGACAACAGCCTTGTGAAATCTGTTCTTTTCACCTCTAAATGGGTTCCAGGGATTGAATTAGCCGGGCAGTGGTAGCGCACAACTTTAATCCCAGCACTTGGGAGGCAGAGGCAGGCGGATCTCTGTGAGTTTGAGGCCAGCCTGGTCTACAGAGTGAGTTCCAGGACAGCCTCCAAAGCTACAGAGAAACCCTGTCTCGAAAAACCAAAAAGCAAACAAACAAAACAAAACAAACAAAAAACCAACCGCCAGTACTACGTAGCAAGTACCTTTACCTACTGAGTCATATCACTGGCCTTTTGGGGGTATTAGCTTGCTTGTTTTTATACAAGGATTCATGAAACACAGGCTGGCCTTTCACTCTCTAAGTAACCTGACCCACCTGTCTCCACCTCCAATATTGGGATTACAGGTGTGTCCACCACACCTGGTTTTAATTTTCCTCTCATTCAGAACAGACTTTTTTTTAAAGATTTATTTATTTATTATGTATAGTGTTCTGTCTGCATGTATGCCTGCACGGCAGAAGAGGGTACCAGATCTCATTATAGATGGTTGTGAGCCACCATGTGGTTGCTGGGAATTGAACTCAGGACCTCTGGAAGAACAGTCAGTTCTCTTAACCTCTGAGCCATCTCTCTAGCCCCAGAACAGATTGTTAAGTAACATTTCTTTTCTAATTAAAAATAAGCTTCAGGAGCTGGCAAAATGGTTCAGTGAATAAGGGTGCTTGCTGCCAAACCTAATGATCTGACATCCGTTCCTGGAACCATCACGCTCAAAGGAGAGAACAAACTACTACAAGGTGTCCTCTGATCTCCATGTCCTATGGCATATACACATGCACACACTAAATGTTGTGTGCTGATGTGCACCTGCATGTGCTTGTAGAAAGGACAAAGGTCAGTGTTGAGTGTCTTCCTGCACTATATATTTTGAAATAGTCTGTGGAGCTCATTGTGGGTTTCACTGGCTGGCCAGTGGGCTTCAGGGTCCTCCTGTGCCTACCCGTGCCACACACTGGAGTTACAAATGAGCACCACCACATCTGGCTTTTATCTGGGCACCAGGACTGAGTGAAGGTCCTCATAGTTGTAAAGCAGCTCTTTATAGACTACACCATCTCCCCCAAAATTCAGTATTACATGTAAGGGTAGAAATTCGTCTAACACTATTATGGACTGAATACCTGTGTTCCAAAAAACATCCATGTGAAGTTTACTTTGGCAATACTGTGAGGCTTAATCAGGGCTTAAGGAGAAAGATCCCAGGATAGGATTAGTCCCAATTAAGAGGAGATGAAAGCTGGGCAGAGGTGGTGCACATCTTTAATCCTAGCACTTGGAAGGCAGAGGCAGTTGGATCTCTGAGTTTGAGGTCAGTCTGATCTACAGAGTGAGTTCCAGGACTGACAAGGCTACACAGAGAAACCCTACCTAGGAAAAAAGTGTCTGTGTCTAAGTTTGGGTTTCTATTGCTGTGAAGAGATACAATAATCATGGCAATTCCTGTAAGGAAAATATTTAACTGGGGTGGCTCGATTACACTTTCAGAGGTTCAGTCCATTATCATCATGGCGGAGAGCATGGTGGTGTGCAGACAGACATGGTGCTGGCTACATCTTGATCATGAAGGCAACAGGGAGTGGACTGTGACATTGGGAGGAAACCTCAAAGCCCACAGACACAGGGACACACTTCCTCCAACAAGGTCTTACCTATTCCAACAAGGCTACAACTCCTAATTGTAGTGGGAAAATCCTTTTGTACACTGTGAAGATGTGTTTCTGTTTTACCTTATCTGCTTAAGGTGCCTTTTGATTGAATGGCCAATGGCTAGGCAGGAGAGAATAGGCAGGACTTTTGGGCAAGGATAGGAACTCTGGGAAGAATCAGAGAGCTGAGAATTTGCCAGCCAGACATGGAGGAAATGGGATGCACAGTACTGACCAGAGGTAACAACCTACATGGCAGATTAATATAAATGGGGTAATTTAAGTTTAAGAACTAGTTAGGAATAAGCCTAAGCTAAGGTCAAGCTTTCATACTTAATAAAAAGTCTCTGTATCATTACTTGGGAGCTGATGGTCCAAAGAAAGTATGAACTAAACCCAATAGTGCCGCTCCCTATGAGCTTATGGGAGCCAATTACATTCAAACTAGCACATTCCACTCCCTGACCCCCATAAGCTTGTAACAATATCATAATGCAAATGCATTCAGTCCAACTTCAAAAAGTCCCCATAGTCTATCAGTCTCAACAATGTTTAAAAGTTCAAAGTCTCTTCTGAGATTCACGCAATCTCAGAACTGCAATCTCCTGTATAATCAAAATAAAAACAGACAGCATACTTCCAACATATGATGGCACAGAATATACATTACCATTTCAAAACATAGGGAAAGGAGCATAGTGAGGAAACACTGGACCAAAGCAAGACCAAAACGCAGCAGGGAAAACTCCAAACTGCATCTCCATGCCTGAGGTCAAAAGGCTCTTCGGATCTCCACCTCCTTTCAGTTCTGTAGACTGCAGCACACTTCTCTCTCTTGGGCTGGTTCCACTTTCTGGTAGTAGCTTTCCCCAGTAGTTATCACAAGGCTCTGGCATCTCCAACATCTTAGGTTCTCCAAAGCAAATCAGGCTTCAGCGTCACAGCTTCACGAAATGGCCTCTCCAGGCCTCCATTCAGGGAGACCCCTGACACCTGCCTGGCTTCAGCAGCTTGTCTTTCTTCTGTCCTTAACTCCAGAACCACGTGGCCAAAGCTGACAAATTCTGCAGCTCACTGGGGCTGGCACATGGCCCCCACCTTCATTATATCTTCACCAGCTTTCTGTCCTTCACTGCCTAAGCTTGTCTGTCCTGAAACTGGATCTGTAGACCAGGCTGGGCTTAAACCCAGAGATCTGCCTGATTCTACCTTCCCAATGCTGGGATTAAAGGAGTCCATCACTACACCCGACTCTAAACTTTTCTTTAGCTGGAAATTTAGTTGGGTGAGATCTTGTCCTGAGGTCACCATTCCCTTTATTCTACTTCTTAATCCATTTACCTCCTTGGACACAGGATTTAGCTCTATTATACTTCCTGGTGCTCCTTTTCTCAACCTGTACATTTTATATTTTTAATGGCTCAGCTACTTGTTCCTTTTCATTATAAATCTTCATTAGAGTTACCACTAATAACCACATGACGGAGTCTATATCAGGATGTTTTGAGATTTTCCTCTGAGAATGGAATGAATTCAAAACTCTTCACTTTTGCCTCAGCAGACTCTTCTGACAAGGGCAAAAGCAGCCACATTCTTCACCAAAATATCACAAGAATGATCTATAGACAACATTTTTCTCTGAAACTCCTGAGCCAGGCCCCCACAGTTCAAAGCACCACTGTCTTCCATGCTCCTATTAGTATGGCCAACTAAGCAGTGTTTAAACCATTCTGCTGCTTTCTTAACCTAAAGTACCAGAGTCCAAATTACTCCAAATAAAAACATGGTCTGGCCTATCACAGCCATACCCCAGTCCCTGGTACCAACTTCTTAGTTAAGGTTTCTATTGCTGTGAAGAGACACATGACCATGGCAACATATTTTTAAATGTGTATTCATGTTTTGCCTGCATATATGCTGTGTGAGGGTGTCAGACCTTGGAGTTACAGATAGTTGTGAGCTGCTTGGAACTGAACCCAGGTCCTCTGAAAGAGCAATCAGTGCTCTTAACCACTGAGCTACCTCAACCCAGCCCCACAGCAACTCTTAGAAAGGAAAACATTTAATTGGGGTGGCAGCTTACACTTTCACAGGTTCAGTCCATTATCATCATGGCGTGATAATGTGCAGGCAGACACAGTGCTGGCTACATCTTGACCAGAAGGCAACAGAGAGTGGACTGAGACACTAAGAGGTATCTTGACCATTAGGAAAGCTCAAAGCCACACCCACTGACACACTTCCTCCAACAAGGTCATACCTACTCCAACAAAATACACCTACTAATAGTTTACTCCCTATGAACGTATGAGGACCAATTACATTCAAACTATCACAAAGAGGAAGAGGTGGAACTCAATCTGTTTATTATGTGAGGATACAGCAAGAAAGGTTCCTCACCAGACTCAATCAGCTGACATTCCAGAACCAAGATTATGAAAAACAAGTGTTGAATATTTAAGCCACCTATTCTGTGGTATTTGTTACAGCAGCCAAAATTTTCCAAGATAATAATTTTAAGTTACATATTTGAACTGCCAAACTATTGTAATTGAGAGGTAAAATCTAGGTTCAAAAAAAGTATCAAAGGTCTCTGTCAAATTTAGCAAACTGTTTTTTCTTCAGTATTTACATAATCGTTAGTATGACAGGCTATACACAGAAGGATTGGGGGTTAAACCTAAGAGAGTTCTATTACTAAATTATACCATCCCTAGCCCATTATTCTCCTTTTGTTTGAAGTAAGGTCTCACTGTGTAGCACGCCTGTCTTTAATCCCAGCACTCGGGAGGCAGAGGCAGACAGATCTCTGTGAGTTCAAGGCCAGCCTGGTCTACAGAGCAAGTTCCAGGACAGCCTCCAAAACAATACAGAGAAACCCTGTCTCGAAAAACCAAAAAAGAAAGAAAGAAAGAAAGAAAGAAAGAAAGAAAGAAAGAAAGAAAGAAAGAAAGCAGGCTGAACAAGCCATGGGAAGCAAACCAGTAAGCAGCACCCCTCCATGGCCTCTGCATCAGCTCCTGCCTCCAGATTCCTGCTCTCATTGCTTTGGATGATGAACTGTTAATGGAACTATGAGTAAAATAAACCTTTCCAAGGTGCTTTTGGTCATGGTGTTTCATCCCAGCAATAGCAGCCCTAAGACCTGGTCCTCAGGGTGGCAGTTCTGGGAGGTATTATGATCCTGCCTGGGTCACTGGGAAATGGACTCAAAGGGATAGTGAAGCCTGTTATAGTTGCACATATCTCCTGTCCTAGAACTAGGGAAGCAGAGGCAGGAGGATCACTCCAAGTTCAAGGTCAACCTGGTCTATGTAGAATTCTGGGCCAGGCAGGACTACAAAAGCAGACATTTTGGGGGGAAGGGGGTAAGACCTTGTCTTTAGGAACCACAAAACTGTGTAGCCCTGGACCTCTGGTTTCTAGCAGGTTCAGCACTCCGACCACAGCATCCACCTCACAAAGGACAAACCAGTGAGCATACTCCACATACTGCATGACCTTGGACTTTAAACTTCTTAAAGGATACAGTAAATAGTCATTTTCTCTTCATTACTTAGTTGCTTTAGGTATTTCACAGTATTGATATGAAGCCAATATAGTTGTATATATGAATTCAAAGAAAGAAAATAAAAGAAGTAGTAGAAACAAGAATTAATTTGTTTTACGAGACAATTTCTTACAGTTTCTACATCAGAGCTCTAGGACATACCTACTAAGCACTCAGATTGCAAAACCTTATTTACTGTAAAATATTGTTTTCTTATATTCCAAGATGTATAGATTTTAAAGCTGGTAAACTATGAATAGGAAAAAGAAACACACTCAGACAATCCAATTTTATGGTTTCAGCCACTGTGATATCTCAGCAATTGTGAGATGAGGGCAGAATAATCATGAATTCAAGTTCATCCTCAGCTACTCAGGAGCACAAGTTCAACCAAAAACCAAACCAGAAAAGTGACTGTGTGGAACCAGGACCTTACACATGCTGGGGAAGCAGTCAACACTAAGCTGCACCCTCAGTTTTACAGGTTTTGAGATGGTCAGGAAGCAAATGAAGTTTTCATTCTGTAGATGACAGACATCCTAGTCAGCTGCAGGCAGGCCTTGACTCTCCTTGCCATCCCCCTCTACAAATTTCTTTTCCTTTGATCCCACCTGCCACGATCCAAGTTCAGCTCTCAGCTGTCACTGCTCTGCAGAGATTACTTTGCAGCTCTCAACTGCTGAGGTAGGGAGGGCAGTCTGGCTTTAGCCCCACAGCTGGAAGCAGAGCCCTGTAAGAAAGAAGCCTCCAGGCTTGATCTGAGGGAAGCCAAATTCAGTCATGCTCAGTATCCAGTTACAAAGGAAGTGAGTCATTTCCTTCTTTCTGAACCCTGTCATTCCAACCATCTAATCACAATGCGTTATAGACAGGTGTAAGTCTCACTAGTTTAACAAAGGTGACTGCTTCCTAGGGTCAGGAGACCAGAAATGACCAAGGAATGGCTGTTTTCCTCTTGGTCAGTATCGCTGTGCTGGCTTGATTTGTGTGGCAGGGCCAGGTCAGAGTTCAACCTCACTTTTATGAACATCAGAATGAACTGCAACAGCGTCCAGCCCAGAGCTTCTCGCTACATCATCTCTTAGCTTGTGGTAGGACCAGGGGTGGCAGGGGTTCCCACATGCAACAAGGTATGAACTAACGTGTTTTGTTCTGTTCAAAGAAATGGATCTCTCGCATCATAGCTAGAAGTATCCTGCAGATCAAAGCAGTCCACAAAACTCCCTCAAGAAAAACTGCCTCCTCACAGATCTATTGAGTACATTGTCACCTGACTATAGGGCCAAGGGGGAACTTAGCGAGAGCTCAGTGATGCTTATTGGTCCTTCCCACTCCTCTGTACTCAGATGTGGGCTCCAGCAGGCAGCGTCTGGGAGACAACCTGGCTGGCAGTTTGGAGAAAAGGAGCAGAGCCAAACAGCAAGGAACTTGAAAAAATGATACTGAAGATGGCAGGACCAGCTAGCCCACCCCACACAGCACTCCCCAGCATGCTCCCTGGGTATAGGCAGCCAAGGCAACCTGCTGCAGACAGCTGGGCTTTAGGACAGCAGGGACAGAGGGGCAAGAAAACAATTCTGGTGTCCTTTTTTTTTTTAAATCTCACTGTGGTCCACTTTCTCTGAATTCACTTGGACTTCATTACATGAAACAGGTATGCACCACAGAAGCTGTAACACAGGCCTGCAGTGATGTGCCCTTGATAAAGTGTCCCCTGAGCAGCCCACATAACCCACAAATCCTGCACCATGGAGTTGTCTAATTACAAAGGCAATGATGATAAGTGTCCTTTCCTACCTCCAGCATCGGGACTCAGCTCGGAAGCCTTGGACATTATTGTCCCCTCCAATCAAGTACACGAAGTTGTTGAGCACCGCAATGCCCTGGTTGGACATTCGGGGAGCCAGAGAGGCAGTGAAGTGTTTCCACTCTCCCAATAGGGGATTCAGGTACTTGGCCTGGTCACTGAGGATTGTAGATGGCGTGGAGTGAATGCCCCCAAAGCCCACAACACATTGGAAGTCTGAGCGAAGCTCTGTCTGTGGGCCCTGAAGGCTGGGCTGCAGGCTCTCATTCCGGTGGTACATAAGGGCACTGGCCACTGTGTCCCTCAGTGGGCTAGGACCAAGCTTGTCATGCAGCCGTTGAAGGACCTCAGCTTCCATTAAGGGAAAACGCACAGTCTCTAGGAGCTTGGGAGGCTCATTCAGTGAGATCTGGTCAGCCTGCACCTGCTCCAGGGAGTAATGGTAGAGCAGGGCCCCTTCATACACCTCAGTCTCACAGGAAACCTCCAGGCGATTGCTGCTGAGGAGGGAGTAGACCTTCTCCAAGGGAAGCTGGCGGTACTTGTCAGTTCTCGAGAAGGCCACAAAGTTTTTGAGGATGTAGGTATCCAGCTGTTGGGTCAGACGGTTCAGGTCAAAGAGCTCTGCCAGCCGGTAGACATCAAGGATGTTCTCCTCATCCACCCAGGACATAAGGAAGTCACAGCAGAAGTGGATAATTTCTGGGATCTGTAAAAAGAAGGACACCCACTCAAGGCTGAGCTGGAGAACTACATCTAGGTATGGGAGACAGCGTGACAGCAGAAAAAGACTTATTATGGAGCTGGCTGTTCACGTAGCTGGCCTTTTGAGGTTGGGGACTGTAAAGTGGAATCTTCCTTCAACTGTCCCCAACTTTTTTGACGGAAAACTGCAGGGATTTCCTGAAGGCTTAGTTTAAAACCTGCCATGGGAACACAGGCCATGTTCTTAACCTCACAGAGTCCCAATCCTCATCTATAAAACAAGGATAAGGTAGGGAGGAATGGCCTAAGGATGACACCAAGACCACCACTTGGCACAGACAGGATTTTTTATATATACCACCTGCTTTTAGATGAAAAGTACATGTGGAAAGGAAGCAGGACATGTCACAGATGGTCACTGTATGGAAGAAGCCTGTGGCCATTCCCTGCCACCGGTACTGTCTCGAGGAGCCAGGGTGTTAGGACCAAAACTATAGCTGGCTCTCTTCCCCGAACAACCTCAGCAACAGGAGCTGGCCAAGCCCACGCACAACGCACTTACAACTGTCAGCAAGGCATCTCCAGACACTCAGGAGCCAAGACGTCGAGCCACAACTTTTGAAAAGTTGTCAAACCATCCTGGGGCCTCTGCCTGAGCTGAGAGACCCACTCAGCTCCAGGGGCTGCAGAATCCCCAGGTGGCAGTATAACCTATCCCTGTCCTGAGCAGCACTAGAGGGAGGGAAGGCAGGCCAGAGAGGCACTAAGGAAGGAGGAAGCTGAGAGTCAGACAACTAAACCCTGAAGCTGTTCAAGGACACTGTGCAATTTGACAGGCAAAGCAGAGCAAAACAGAGACAAAAAGAAACCTTCCTGGATAACAAACCAGGTACAGATAAAGTCTTTATCTCAAACCCACAGTTTGGGGATTAAACACATACATACAACACTACATCTAACATATTCTTTAGGAAAACAAGATTTTGGAGTCTCCCTGAAAATAGAAACAGGTGGCAGCTCCCTTTACCTATAGGTCCTACCTCAGAGGTAAAACTGCCCATAGATTATATACATACATTCTGGCTGTATAGGGTTCACTGTCCTCAGATTCATTATACCAGCCTAGCCCCAGACTAACCATGCAGAAGACCATGAACTCCCCCTACCAACTCTGGAGTGCTTGGATTACAAGTATACATTACCACACAAGGTTTTCTGTTGTTTGTTTTCTTCCTTTCTTCCTTCCTTCCTTTCTTCCTTCCTTCCTTCCTTCCTTCCTTCCTTCCTTTCTTTCTTTCTTTCTTTCTTTCTTTCTTTCTTTCTTTCTGTTTTTGGTTTTTCAAGACCAGGGTTCTTTATGTAACAGGCCTAGCTATCCTGGAACTCATTTTTGTAGACCAGGTTGGTCTCAAACTCAGATATCTGCCTATCTCTGCAGATATTGTGATTAAAGGTATGTATCGCCAGACTTTATTTTTGATTTTCTGAGACAGGATCTCACTATGTGGCATGACCGGTCCTGGAACTCACTCTGCAGACCAGGTTGACCTCTGCCTCCCGAGTGCTGGGAACCACTATGCCCAGCTTTATCATGTCAGTTTACAGTATTACAACTATTTGTGCAGTATTACAGCAATGGTATTACAGCAATCTAGAGATACTCTAAGGTGGACAAGAAGCATATAGGAAAGTTACATTCCAACGATACTCCATTTTATAGAAAGTCTATAGACCTCTGGATTTTAGTATCCATAGCTACTCCTGGAATTAGTTCTCTAAGGATACAAGACAACTATTCCTGTCTTAATTAGAATCACCAACAAATTAACCACAGTATACAGAGAAATTCTGGTAATATTTAAAGCCTATCAATAAATGTTTACAATTTCTTAAATTAAAAAGACAACTCAGGCTCACATGCCTTTAATCCCAGCACTTGGGAGGCAGAGGCAGGCAGATCTGTGAGTTCGAGTTCAGCCTAGTCTACAGAGTGAGTTCCAGGAGAGCCTCCAAAGCCACAGAGAAACCCTGTCTCATAAAAACAAAAAAACAAAACAAAAAGACAACTCATGCTTCTTGCTAGAGCTGAATAGACTTTACTTACAAATGATCAGAGAAATACATACCCATGTTTGGTTCTCCAGGGTGCTCTGTAATTCCTGAACATCTTTGCTTGCCATGTTTAATTCCCTAGCCAGTTCTTCTAGTCCTCTTTTCCCTAAAACATGACTGTCCTGGGCCTGAGCGAGTAGGAATAAGCAGTGCCATTCTAGAAATAACCCGTCCCCTTACACCAAGACCTCTTGTTTCCCCATCCTTGGTCCTTTGGTCCGTTTTCAGAGCAGTGCCTCTTCTGGGTGGAATCCTACACAGACACAGCTGAGACCCATCTAGTACAGGATCCCTAACCAGACAGATTCAGAATAGAACACACTTGCCTAGAGCAAGTTAACAAGGCCGATTTTGCTTGGATTGAAATCTAAGACTCTAGAAACAATGTGAAAAGTCACCAGGTCTAGTGCAGGACACAGCACTAGCAAACCAACAGCTACAACACCCAAACTTAATTTGCAGACTTTATGACTTTCTTCTATCAAGTAAAACTTGCTTTATAACAATGTTGCATGTTCAAATTACTACAAAAAAAATGTTCCAAGAAAAGGAGTAAATTGGACTATTGGTATACCACATTTCTAAGTCTTCCCAAATGTTTGTTTCTGCTTTTCTCTACAAGCATATAATACAAATGATCTTTCTGTAGTCAGTCAAATTAAAAATTAAAGGTGGCTTTGGAGTTGGAATGTGGCTCTTTCCTTCTCTAAACCCAAGCACGATTATTAAAGTAAAATCTAAAATTTCTGTCTCATGTCAGAAGAGTTGCCTGATATGGGACAGAAGAAAAACAAATATTTAAGGACTATTCTATTGGCACTAATCTCACAATCATTTGGTTTTATTTGGACTCACTTTTCTTAAGGTATATCATCTAAAAATTTATAAGGTTAAGATATATGCATTTAAAGGTATTTGTCATGATATTATTGATCATATAGAGTACTAGTTCTAGAAAAAGGTTTCATCTACCTTCCTATACATGATTTCGGGTTTGGGTTTCTATCAGTTTTCTGCAGTGAACCATGAAAACACCTGACAGTGACCTTTGAAGTCTCCAAAAGGAGGATGGGGTACCACAACGACAATTCCACCAGAAATAAGCAGGAATATGATAACACTACTAAGCTGAAAAACACTAATTAAAGATCAACTTTGGGCTACACACTGCTCAGAACAATTTCAAAATGGCCAGCTGAGGTGATCCAGCCTCACAGACTACTAGCCAGGACTTGAGACAAGCCCTGCACTTTCCCATTATGAAGAGCCTGAACAACAAATGATACAGCTTGACAATTAACCCAAAATTTTCTTTTCAGGATCCCCTAAAGATGCTGTCACCTCCAGACAGCAGGAACATGACTCCCACATTCCAGAGGGGTGGGGTGGGTGGTTTTTGGTCACCCATTAGGTTATGGATGTCTGTCATCATCTAAGGGTTGGTTACAGGTTGTCTTTGGTTACGGTCAGGAAGGAAGTTGAACAAGGGGATTAGATTCAGGGTTCTTGTTTTGAAAAGAAAAAAGGGGGATACAGATATGATTCGATAAAAGGTAGATTATTGAATCTACTTTTAAAAAGCAACTAATAACTTTAAATATTTTACATTGGATTGGACTTTTGTATAATGTATACAAATTTTGTATGATAATACAAATTTGAGATTAATTTGGTTAAAACATACTGTACATACATTTCTAATCTTGTTCAAGGAATTGTACCTGTACAGTTCATTTAACAGTATAATGCAAATTTCTAGGCCTTGAAAGTTATTATTACCAACTATATAGGAAAATAAGGAAATGCAGGTTAGTAATTAGTCACCTATTACAATCAAACTTGTAGTCATATTAGGTATGCTTTCAAGGTCAAACACAGCTATATTTTAAAAAGACAGGTAGTCTTCAAACACTTCAGAGATCTACAGAATAAGACATTTAAGATGTTCTAATAACATAGGTTCTTTTTTGTTTTTTATGATAATGAGACATGTCTGCTCCTGGCAGTACCAATTTACTTCAGAGAAGATGGTAGGCATAAAGAAACACCACATGGAGTTTACTTTCTTTGTGGCAAAAGTAGCCACTCGTCAAGAAAGTGCCCTTGTCTTGACTGCTGACGGTATGCTGTCCAAACTGAACAAACAGGACACAAAGAGAATGATTGCCAAACCTTGCCGAGACAGGGTGGGACAGTACTTCAGAAAATCCTGCTTCACAGAAAACTCTGTCAGATACGGTAGGCCTACAGGGAGAAGATGGATGCCCCAATGTTGCAGAGGAACCTTGGGTGACTGTCCAGAGAGACAGCTGTTTTTGTCATTTCTCATATTTTTTGGAAGTCACTTGTCCACACTTCCTGCTTATTCAGTTAGTATTATTTCCTTCTTGGGTCTCTGAGAGAGCTGAAGACTAAATAGTTACAGTTACTGTTTTCCTTGTTTACCAGACTCTGAAAAGAAACTTATCAAAGAGGTGTAAAATATAAAAGATTGCTGGGCATTGGTGGCACATGCCTTTAATCCCAGCACTCGGGAGGCAGAGGCTGGCGGATCTTTGTGAGTTCGAGGCCAGGCTGGACCGACAGCCTCCAAAACAGAGAAACCCTGTCCCGACAGCCTCCAAAACGGAGAAACCCTGTCTCGTAAAACCAAAAAAAAAAAAAATATATATATATATATATATATATAAAAGATTGAGAGACATTTAAACAATTTGATAATGCAAATTAGAATAGAAAGTGAATTAGGTACAACCTTTTGGACTCACCAAGATAGGATAAAGGAATATCTTCTCTGACTTTGTTAAATGCAAATGGACTAGACATTGTAGATGTATACAGTTACTGTATTTATTGTACATGGCTTTTCTTATATTAGTTATAGCCTTTTTTTTTTTTTTTTTTTTTTGGTTTTTACGAGACAGGGTTTCTCTGTATTGTTTTGGAGGCTATCGGTCCAGCCCGGCCTCGAACTCACAGAGATCAGCCTGCCTCTGCCTCCCGAGTGCTGGGATTAAAGGCGCGCACCACCACCGCCCGACCTTAGCCTTCTTTTTTGTATTAGACAAAAAAGGGGAATTGTGGTGACATATTGTTTATGATCTAATAAAGTTGCCTGGGGATCAGAATGCAAAGCTAGCCACAACCATAGAAGCTGGGCAGTGGTGGCACACACCTTTAATCCCAGGACTCGGAAGACAGAGGCAGGTGGATCTCTGTGAGTACAAGGCCACCCTGGGCTGCATGAGAGTTAGTCAGTCTAAAAGAGAAACAGAGTTCATGTCTTTAATCCCAGCACTAGAGAGAATATAAGGAGCTCAGTGCAGTCTCAATGAGTCTGAGGAGCAATGCAGTCTGGAGATGCAATCAGAGAATACAGTTGCCCCTTCGGTCTGAGCACTGGTGGTGTTGAGAACTCTCTAGTGGCTAACTGCTTTGCTTCTCTAGTCTTCAGCTTTAACCCCAATACCTGTCTCTGGGTTTATATTATTCCTGCTACAGAAATGGGCTGGTTTATTCTCCCCCACCTTCCCAATCCTTGATGGTGAAGGATGCCATCCCTCACCAGCTTACCCAATGGACCTTGCCTCACCTTCCTACTCATGGGCCTTGTGTGGGAATGATCAATGTGATCTCCCCCAGGAAACACAGTCGGGGCCTCTCTGTAGCCTGTTTGCTGACCCCAGGTGGGGAGATTGGGGTTTCTTCAATAGCTACCTTCTGCCCCTTCAGCTCTGGAGTAGCTGGGCCTATGTACTAAACAGGTTACAAGGGACACCTGCCCTGCCTTACTGTTCCCATGGACTTCCCAGGGCTCCTGAGTTGGAGGGAAACACCAGTGCTCTTCCTCCTAGTCTTTTCCCACTCCTTCAGCTGCTTTACCTGAAAGTTAGTTTTGAACTTTTTACTTAAGGAATGAAAAGAAACCTATAGATATATATTTTATATATTTAAAAAAATTTAAAGGTTTTACGTATAACAAGTGTTTGCCTGCAAGAGAACCTAGGTTTAATTCTCAGGACCCACATGGTGGTTCACAACTATCCCTAACTCCAACTCTACGGGATCTGATACCTTTTCCTTGTTATCTTCAGGTACAAGGCACAAATGTGGTACAGGCAAAACACTCATAAAAGGGGGTTGGGAGGGACAACAGCACACACCTCTAATCCCTGCACTTCGGAGTTTCAGGCTAGTTTAGTGTACAGAGGGAATTCCAGGACAGGCAATGAAAACCTGTCTCAAAAACACAGGAATCTAAAAAATTTTGTTGTTGTTGTTTTAAAAAGATCAGTTGCTACTCCGCCAGAGGACCTGAGTTTGGTTCCCACTCCCCACACAGAAGCTAACAACATGTGTAACTCCAGTTCCAAAATCAGATGTCAGCCTCTTCTGACAGAGGCCAGAATATAGCATGTACACGGTGCACATACATACATACATGCAAAGCATAAAGCATAAAAACTAATAAAGAAGTGAGAGAAGGAAGCATGCACTATGGTACATGGCTGTAGTACCAGGTGGCTGAGACAAGATTGCAAACTTAAGGCGAGAGAGGAAAAAAAGAGTGGACAAACACAGCTGGTGGACAGGAAAAACTTAAACTGTGCTACAAGGGCAGAGGATTCTCACAGTTGCTAGACAGCACATAGCATAGGCCATCACAGACACACACCTCAGGATTGGCTAACCTATGATGTTTTTCCTAGCAGGGAAATCAGGCCAGAAGAAGGAAGCAGCAAAGAAGAGAAGGACGAGTTGGATATGTTGGTTTATGCTTATAATCCCAGCACTCTGGAGGCTGAAGCAGGCCTGTCAAGAGATTAGCCACCCTGGGCTACATTCTAGGCTAGACTTGAACTATAGTGAGACTGTTTCAAAAAATGGGGAAAAAAAAAAGGAGGAGGAGGAGGAGGAGGAGGAAGAGATGGAGAGATATCTCAGCAGTTATGAACACTAGTTGATATATATATATGTATATCCAGGTTTGCAAAGCATAAATAAAAATGAGAAACAATCAAAAAAATATCCAGTAGGGCGTTGGTGGCACACACCTTTAACCAATCCCAGCAATCAGGAGGCAGGGGCAGGTGGATCTCTGCAAGGCCAGCCTGGTCTCTAGAGTGAGTGCCAGGACAGGCTCTAAAGCAATACAGAGAAACCCTGTCTCAAAAAAGAAAAACAATCAAACAAAAAAATCCATGTTTGATCCCCAACACCTACATGGCAGATCACAGCTATCTGTAATTCCAGTTTCAGGGGACCCAACACCTTCTTCTGACCTCCACAGACACTGTACATCTGTGACACATGGAAATACAGGTATACTGGGAAAACACCCATACACATAAAATAAAAATTTTTAAATCATAAAAAAAGGAGGAGGAGGAAGAGAAAGAGGAGGAGGAGGGGCTGGAGAGATGGTTCAGCAGTCAAAAGCACTTGTTGCTTCTGCAGAGAACCTGGTTCAAATCCTAGCACCCACATGGTCCATATCATCCGTAACTCCAGCACCAGGGGAACCAATGCGTTCTTCTCACACCCTCAGGTACCAGGCACACATGTGGTACACATACATGTATGCAGCCAAAATGCTCGTATACATAGAATAAACAATATATTTTTTTTTTTTTTGGTTTTTTGAGACAGGGTTTCTCTGTGGCTTTGGAGGCTGTCCTGGAACTCGCTCTGTAGACCAGGCTGGTCTCAAACTCAGAGATCCCCCTGCCTCTGCCTCCCGAGTGCTGGGATTAAAGGCGTGCGCCACCAATGCCCGGCAACAATATTTTTTTCTTTCAGTAGAAAAAGAGTCAAGGGCACACTCTTTGGAGAGACTCGGCTTCATTTTCCAAGGCTCAACACCAAGGTACCCTCCCTGCTCCATACTGTACCTCATCACTTGGCATGCTTGCCCTCTTGCCCTACCTCATACCAGCAGTCATCAGAGGTACCTGGAGAGACCCCGTCAGGTATGAGTCTTCTTAGTCAACAAGGCAACTCTCACCTGAAGTTGGCAGGCAGCAACCAGGGTCTCCTGCACATTGTTCAGGCTGAGCTCCAGTTCAGAAGTATATATGAAATGCAGGATTTGGCACATGGCATTGTAAGACACACCATGGATAAGGACCTCTTCCTGCTCCATCTCCTTCAATCCCCCAGCAAACATTCCTCTGTAAGACAAAGAGACAAGACTTTGAGAGTTACTCAGTCAGGACTTCAGTGTGGGCCACAAAAAGCATTCAAAAGGACCAAAAATTCTAACAGTCTGTGTGCCAAATACTGATTGCTCTGTGCTCTGAATAAACAAACAGTTGGCAAAGGGGAGTCAGTATATGGAAGGAACCTGATCAAGCTGTGCAACCATCCTGGAATCACTTGGCTCCCTGTCCATGGTCCCAGGAACTCTACATGCACTTTGGAGCAGACCATGCCTAGTCTGCCCACTGTATCATCTACCAGTACAGTTCTCAGGTCAGACAGCAATAATCAGAGTAAGTCCGGAAAGACCACGCTAATAGCAAATAAGTAATAACTGAGTCACTACATTCCATATATTTAATGAGTGCTTATCACATGCTGAGTAATGAGGCAGAATAGAAAGAGAAAATTAAGGGGATATAGGAGGGGGAAGAAGCCCTTCACATGGGATGTAGTTTGCCTTTCTTTTTTTGTTTTTGGTTTTGGTTTTTGGTTTTTTAAGACAGGGTTTCTCTGTGGCTTTGGAGGCTGTCCTGGAACTAGCTCTTCTAGACCAGGCTGGTCTCAAACTCACAGAGATCCTCTTGCTTCTGCCTACCGAGTGCTGGAATTAAAGGTATGTGCCACCATTGCCCAGCAATAGTTTGTCTTTCTTGTTGACAGAAAGTCAAGAAGCTTCAATATAACTAGTAAGGCAAACTTGTCTACAGAAGTATTATATATTTTCCTAAAGACATCTCAAACAAAGATATTAAAACAACAAAGAAAGGCTGGGGGGCCGGGCATTGGTGGCGCACATCTTTAATCCCAGTACTCGGGAAGCAGAGGCAGGAGGATATCTGTGAGTTCGAGGCCAGCCTGGTCTACAGAGCGAGTTCCAGGACGACAGCCTCCAAAACAATACAGAGAAACCCTGTCTTGGAAAAAAGAAAAAAGAAAGAAAGAAAAAAACAACAACAAAGAAAGGCTGGAGAGATGGCTCAGCAGTTAAGAGCACTGGCTGCTCTTCTAGAGAACCTGGGTTCAATTCCCAGCACCCACATGGCAGCTCACAACTGTCTGTAGTTCCAGTTCCAGCAGATCTGACACCTTCACACAGACATGCAGGTAAAACATTAACGCATATAAAATAAAAACAAATAAACCATTAGAAAATATTAAGCAACAACAAAGAAGCCAGGTGTGGTGGCACATACCTTTAATCCCAGCGCTAAGGAGGCACAGGCAAATGGATCTCTGTGAGTTGTAGGCCAGCCAGGGCTACATAGAAGAAATCTGCCTCAAAAAACAAACAAACAAAACCCAACAATAAATGAATTATGCTTACTTAGGGCCAAACTGTTTGAAACCTTCAGTTTAACTATATTAGGACCTCTCTCCCAAAATCTAAACTATGTACCTCATAAAATCATTTTATACTTCCATTTGCAAAAGGAAATTCAAAGAGAAGTAGACATTAAGCAGGCCATGTGTTTTACTTCTTTACTTACTTTATGTGAGAGAGCACATGTGCATGCATGTCATGGTGCACACATGGAGCATAGAAGACAATCTACAGGAATCAGTTCTCTTCTTCCACCACGTGAGTCCCAGGGTTGAATTCAGGCCTTCAGGCTTTGTGGCTGAAGAAGCCTAACTTAACATCAGTGCAGCCATGACAGGCTGCAGGTTAACAATACTGGGACTAGGCCCCACCCTTACAATGACCAGGAAAAGCCACAGACTGTACCCTGCAGGGGACCAATCAGAATTGAGACAAACAAGTACTAGATGCTCCAGAACATTAGGAATAGCTTACCTAACTTGTATATAGGTTGCCAATTTCCTTGCAGCAACGCCAGTACCAATCCCTTTTTGACAAGACTCCTGATATCCCACTCCTACCCAATCAGGAATTCAACCCCATCTGAATCCAGAATCCCCTCTCCCTCCCCCTCCCCATTCTTTACTCCTTAAAACCCTGCCATAGCTGGACTCAATGCTCTCCCTGATCCAACCGCTGTGTCGGAACAGACAGAAAGTCCAAGCTCAAGCCTGCAACAAAGGCTCTTTGCTTTTGCATATGAACTCAGATTCTTGGTGGTCTCTGGGGGGCTCATAATGTGGGCATAAGAGTGGCAAGGGCCACTGCCTGCAGAACTATCTCTCTTGCCTGTAGGGGAATTTTTATAGACAGTGGCCTAGAAAAGAGAGGCTGGAGAATTGGCTGGGACGAAGCAGAAAACCAGTTAGGCAAGAGACTCTTGGCCCCGGCAAGGACAATATTGTTGGAGAACTGCAGCTAAGATGCCAGGGTACAGTTAAGAGCCTGCTGACAAAATGATTCCAGGAGCACCTGGGGGACATAAGGCCCCTTGTGGGGCAAAGCAGCTGGACAGATGGAGAAAAATTCAGGAGGAACTGGTTTAAACAAAATAATTGAGGGGTCCTACCATGTCACATTAAGACATCCAAGCAGAGATGTAACTGGTCTTTCTTTAGACCACCAGCTTCTGAATAATGTCATAGTCTTTTTTTTTTAATCAATAAAGCTTGACCTTAGATTAGACTTGTTCCCACTAGCTCTTAAAACTTAAATTAGCCCATTTATATTAATCTAAGTCTTGTCACATGTCTCATTACCACTCCTTAATACTGTACGTCCAACTTCCTGTGTCTGGCTGGCAAACCTCCTTAGCCTCTGATTCTTTTCCAGAGTTCCTATCTCTCCCCATACCTATACGTTCCTGCCTAGCTATTGGCCATTCAGCTCTTTATTAAACCAATCAAGGCAGGTGGTAATGGTGCAGGCCTTTGATCCCAGCACTTGGGAGGCAGAGACAGGCAGATCTCAGTGAGTTGTGGCGAAATCCCTCTGAAACTTGTCTCCTAAGGTTGCTTTGCATCCCAACCCCTCCAGGGCCACCCCAGGGTCAGGCAGACTCTGCATTTTACTTTGCTTTTTGTTTTGCTTTGCTTTTTTTCAAGACAGGGTTCCTCTGTGTAGTTTTGAATCCTGTCCTAGAACTAGCTCTTTAGAACAGCCTGGCTTCAAATTTACAGAGATCCACCTGCCTCTGCCTCCAAAGCGCTGGGATTAAAGGTGTGCACCAAAACTGCCCAGCTTTACTTTGTTCTTATTTTAGAAATATCCGAAAAACAATTCTCACCTATCATTATTTGACACAGTGGTCCTCAACCTTCCTAATGCTATGACCCTTTAGTACAGTTCTTCACATTATGGTGACCCCAACTATAAAATTATTTTCATTGCTACTTCCTAACTGCAATTTTGCTACTGTTATGAATCATAATGTAATATCTGTGTTTCCAATGGTCTTAGAAGGCCCTTTTGGGTTGTTCACCCCACCCCACCCTGAGAAGGGGTCTCCCACAGGTTGCGACCTCTGATCTAGCAGAACAGAAACATTCCCTCCAGAAGGAAGAGGAGGCTCTTACAAGATCTCCAAGGCCCATCCCCCAGCTTTCAGAAGCAGTAAACACATGCTGAAGAGGAGATTCTGACAGGTTGAACTTTCAAGAGGGAACTGCTGGACCAGTGGAGTAGCCTCAAGTTATGCAGAATACAGGGTTACTGCTTTTGGGAGTGATCATCCATGTTGGACGGGAAGGCTTTTCAGTGATACAACTGCTTTTGAGTCATCCTCACTCTTTGTAAAGTCTCTCATCATCAGTCAACTCCAACTCAAGTACATTTGGTTTATTTCACACAATGGATATGGCGCCACCCCCATTCATATCATAACTAGTAGGTTTAATTTCCACACATGTGGATGCTGGACCAAAAAGTTAATATGCACTCACAATTCAGCAGTCCTATCCACCTGATCTTCCATCATTCCCCACACTGGAGCTAAGAACTTGGCCCCCAAACCATCTACAAACATGCTAAGAGCCAGGAAATACTGGTAACTCTGCCACCATGAGAAGAAATACTATTATAAATAGAATTTAAAAAATCTAATCACATGGGGGCTGGAGAGATGGCTCAGTGGTTAAGAGCACTGACTGCTCTTCTAAAAGGACCCGGGTTCAATTCCTAGCACCCACATGGGCAGCTCACAACTGTCCAAACCCCTGTTCCAGGGCATCCAATACCCTCATAAAGACATTGATGCAGGCAAAGCACCAATGTACATAAAATAAATAATTAAAAAAACTTTTTAAAAATCCTATCACATTGCTAAATGTCATTCCAATAGTCTCTGAACAAGCTAGAATTCTGTTAGTTTTCTACTATAGTCTCTTATCTATTGGAAGAGAGGTATTTTCAAGGGTGAGGTCAACTTTCTTCCATCCTTACCTGAAGATTTCTGACCTGTAGAAATTTGGCTGATTTTGGTTTTTGTTTAGATTGGTTTTTATTTTTGTTTTGTTTCTAATGGGTTTTGTTTTTGTTTCAGATAAGGTCTCTATATGTAGCTCCAACTATGTTGGAACTTGCTATGTAGACCAGGCTCGCCTTGAACTCAGAGATCTGCCTGCTTCTGCCTCCTAAATGCTGGGTTTAAAGCCATGCACCACCATGCTTGGCTGAGAAATTTGGTTTTGGGTTTTGTTTTTTTCAATTTTATTTTTTAAGATAACTTAAAACTATGTAGTCCAAGTTAGCATCAACCTTGTAAATGCAGGGACTATATAGGTGTACAATACCATGTCCAGCTATCTATTTTAAGTGTAATCAAATATATACGTTTCAATTCTTTGTCACTATGTTTGTGTCAAACTTAAAATGACTTCTCTGAGATTATATTAGCAAATACTTCTCTGTATCTCCCTCTAGTTTGCTATTTAATGTTAAACACTTAAACTCAGGGTTGCAGGATGGAGAGATAGTGTAGTATAATGATCTGACTTATCAGGACCTGATCAGATCCCAACTCACATTAAAAGCTGGACATTGCAACAAAGCCCTGTCACCCCAGCGATACAGAGCAGAGCCAGAGAAGCCAGGGGTTCGTTGGTTAGGTTC